CAGATGCTCTTCTACTTCGGGATCGTCACTGTTGGTGCACTCTGTTGCCCAGAAAAAGTTTTCTAGCTAGGCGGTCTAAACAACATTCCATTCCACTCGAAAAGACATGTGGATATGACGTCATCAGAAGTTTTCCTACACTGATTGTTGGAGTCAGCCATGAGTTTAACATCTTCTGTAGCAATTTTTATCACTTTCGTAACTGAGTTAATAACTGGGTAATAATTACGAAATTTTGGCATCTCATGAGAGTGACCAGAGCCGTATTATGAGTTTTAGAGGCTTTACGCACCACAACAGTATTTGTGCCCTCACAATTGTTTCTACTTCCTTTTCTCTCACTTTTGATTTAGCTGCACCATCATTCCACAGTAAAACTGGGAATGAGAAATTTTGTGGTGCTCTCTTTCCTAGACACCATAAGAACGCATTTATTATGCTTAATATTTAACCAGCTCTGAGCATGACGTTATAAAACAATGAGTTTTGAAACGATATTAGTTAATCGTTATTTACCTATTCTTTCCTCATATTTAAAAAAAAAATATTAAAATTTGAGACCTCCCTTCCATGGAATAGCATGCAGTGGAATGTTTTCAGGTTAGGCTATTTATATGGCAAAGCATGTGAAAGCTATCTACTTACAGGGAGGATCTTCTAGGGGAAACTGGCTGGCTATCGAATTAAACACTAGAAAAATCAAGAAAACCAAACATGCAGCCAACCTGTTTGCCAGGAATCGAACTCCCACCATTCAGGTGTCTTAATCATTTGGCCAGTGGTCGGGCTTAAAATTACAGATCATAAAGAAAAGTCGGGTTATGTAACTTTATTTGAAAATGAATAAACTGTACTTTTTGATTATCCGCATCCCCATTGAAAAGCTGTGAAAAGTACTGATGAGGCAACACACGAAATCTGCCAAAAATGTTTATGAGTTACCCACTTATAAATTCAACAGTAAATTTTCTAAATAGGATAGTTTTATATATCGAACATACACTGGTTATCATAAATTAAGGAAAAATCACAAAAATAGCGAAACTCCCTCAAAAATAAGCCAAACCGTGTAAAATTTGAATATGTTGCCAAGTAAGAGGAGCTGAGTAAAACTCCAATATGAAAATTAGTGGCGCTGCACTCTGAATACGTCATCTGCGAGGAGCATCCATGTTTGAGAGCAAACCCACATATTTCACTGTGATCGTGATATCAGAAATCTGAGATAGCCAATTCGTAACAATGACCTCCAGGCATCATTTGCCTGTAGAACTACGATAGAGAGCCATTGGGAGACTAGAGGCAGGACAAAGTCAAACAGAAGTAACCAGATGGCTAAATGTGAATCCTTCTGTGGTTCATAGACTTTGGAGGCAATTTCAAACCACAGATTTGGCACCTATGAGGTTAAGCCAAGGACACCCAACTGCTACGAAGAGCGCCGATGACCGATATTTGACATTATGTGCACTCAGGAATAGAACCGCTACTCGGACTCTTCTTAGATCCTTCCTTGCTGCAGCCACCGGGAGGTTGGTGTCAGTGTCAACTGCGCGTAGAAGGCTTCATGAAGGTGGTCTGTATTCGAGGCGAACAACCATTTGCGAGCCGCTCAAGTCACGCCATAGGAGGGACCATTTGCAGTGGGCACGACAACATGTCCACTGGACGCCTGAGCAATGCAGGGCTATTCTATTTACGGATGAGTCCAGGTTTAGTCTAGAAAGCAATAATAGGCGTTATTTGATATGGAGAGAACCTGGAACCCGTTATCATCCGTCAAACATCCGTGAAAGAGATGCATACGGAAGAGGCAGTGTCTGTGTTTGGGGTGGCATTTCTTGGGTGGACGCACACACCTCCATGTTTTTCCAAGGGGAACCGTGAATGCTCATGTTCTATAGAGATGACATCCTTGATGCTTTATGTGAGCCCATATGCTGGGGCAGTAGGTGATGCTTTCCTTGTTACAGGACGACAACGCAAGACCACACAAGGGCACGCATCGTAGATGATTATCTTCAACAGTAAACAATTTATGCGCATGGAGTGGCCAGCTCGATCCCCGGACTTGAATTCTATTCGAGCCACGTTTGGGATGCTTTAGGAAGAGACGTCTAGCTGCTCTCAATCCGCCCCCTTCAGACCCTTGTCGCGCTTGCAACTGCTTTGCAAGAGCAATGCCTCTCGCTTCCTATGGAACTGATAGACCGCACAATTGAAAGCATCACACATCGCTGTATGTGCTGTATTGCATATTGAATATTCCATATTGAATACGGTCATATTCCATATTGAAGATACTTTTACCTATAGCAAACTGACACCTTCGATTTTTTCAATTTATACATGTGCTAATTTCCATACTACTATAATTGTCTGGTAATTTCTTTTTATGTTATTTGATACCTTACTATGTGTTGTATATTGAGGGTAAGTTTCATAAAATTCTAATTGCAACTTTTTCAGTAATCGTGATTTTTGTGATTTTTCCCTAGTTTATGATAACCAGTGTATTTGTTTTTGTGTATAACGAATCATAGCAAAACTGTGGAATCAGCGCTCTTTTAATTTCATTACGTTCGACGTTTCAACTATTCTTGGGCGATTGTGGCCAATGCGGCAACCGAGTAATATTGTGACTTTTTTAGTGAAAACAAATCGCTCTGCAGAGAATAGAGAACAACAGAATGTATGAAGAGAACAACAGACCAAGCTGTTGTTTCTAATCCACGGATTCTATTTGGGAGAGCTTTCGATTTCTATATTCGATTCAATATGCAGCTTCAATTAAGTCTTGATGACTTTTTATTTTCACACATCTTTATAATTACAGTATTTACATGATAGCTGATAATTACTTTAATGACAGTACATTTTAGTTGGTTTCGAAATCCGAAGTTCGTCATTACGCTCCTCAGAGCGGCTCGAATCTAATCTCGTTCCCAGATCTCAATTAGAGAAAAAGAAAGGAAGAATGCCCGCCATCTAGTGGCAAGAATGGAACATCCTCCCACCTTTTGATTTTACAGGGGAAAATCAAAACAAAATTTATCAATAATCAAACAAAAGTTTACAAATATGAAAATTAACTAATGTTCTAAAAATTAATACTTACAAAGGACTATTGCACGTCTATACATTTTCATACCATATCTAGATAACATATTGTTGCGTTATTTCTTCTGACATCAGTTCGTATGGGGTTCGTAGATTTGGAGTGAATAATGACAATACTACTTGATGAAGTATCAAAACACACTTTATTTGGCAGTATTGTCAGGACAGCTCCAAAACACGTTTTACAGTCGTCGATGAACTACTATAAACAAGCTGACACGATCAGCGACACAGCCTTTAGGTTATCAGGCTATCACGGTGGAGACAGCTTCACTTTCCTTCTTTCCTTCCACCGACAGCGAGGCAGCAGGTCCACTGGGTAGTCAGCATATCGGCCAGGTAGCCCCGCTAACGGAAATAACTTGATCAAAATAACATATAAATACATATTGTGCTCAAGACGACTGCTGGGGGCAGTGCAAACAGCTGGACGAAGACGATAGTGCAGTGATGGAAGAAGGGTGCTTCTGTTTGGTTGTTCTCGGAACTCCACGTACTCTCGGGACTCTCCACGCTACAACTCGCGATGCACTCGACGACACATAGAGCACGGCTCCCGACTTTTCGGTTCAGTCGTTCCCGGAGCTCAGCACGCTCTCTCGACGATGCACTAACCGTGATACACTAAGAGACGCCTTCGGTGAACTCGACGACGCACTCGGCACTCGCTGCCCGGCTGTCAACTCGGAACGACTCCGCACAGACTGACTAAACTCGAGACTAACTCGATGCTAACTTACTCTTCGACTTTCAATGACTGACTGACTATCACTAGCTCGCTAGACGAGGCACACACACTCAACTGACTGCGCACCAGCAGGGTTTTGTATAGCTTTCGGCTTGTGTTCGAGAACATTCTGGGCTAAGCCGGTACGAATTCGTTTAAGAAGGTTCTCCATCCGCCCATCGCCAATTTTGTCTCCAAATGAGCGATATTATCGCCAAATGTGGCAACCCTGCCTTCCCTTGCCATTTTATGGCAATCCTAAAACTGCTTTGCGGGGATGCCATTTCACCACGCCTTGACGTTTCGCAACAATATTCAAATTTAGTTCAGTTAGGACAATTAGACTTCTAAGATACTAAAAAAAAATTAATATAACAATTTGAAAATACGTAACAGGCTTAACGTCCATATTTAGTTTGATAGTTATTATCACTATCACACTCATCGTCAGAGTTCTTTCTGTTCATGGTCAAGTCACTAAACAAGTTAGGTCTATTAAGTTCGAGAGGATAAATACGTTTCACATGTGTTAGGAGCTCACCCGTTGCAGTTTTCCCTTTGACAACAAGTAATTCATTGTCTTTCCCAGGATATGTTTCTACAACGCGACCTATAGGCTAGTTTGTTCTTTTCTTTCTGTCGTCCTCCACAAACACTAAATCATCTTTCTTGATGGTTCACGAAAGTACGGTCTTTGGTCGATGTACTAACAGTCCAAGATATTCATCTCTAAATCTTTTACGAAATTCTACACGTAATTTTTGGTGGTATCGCCATCTTTTTGATAAGTTGATTTTATCCAAACAGTCCGGATTTGAAACACCTTCAGTTAGAACATCCTGAATAAACATAGATGGAGTGAGTGCACATAAATCGGTGGAATCTTCTGACTCGTAATGTGAATGGTCTGGAGTTGATATTTGCTTCTGCATCACATAGGATAGTTAACATTTCTTCATATGAAAGTAATGCTTTTCCCAGGACTCTTCTCAATAATTTCTTGATCATCTGAACCAGTCTCTCCCACCAGCCGCCCCACCATGCTGTGGGTGGTGGATTTAACTTCCATTGTCGAAGAACTTCTGATAATTTGGTTCCAATCAACAGATCGGAGTAAATTCCTTGACCCTACAAAATTTGCGCGATTGTCGCTCTATACTACTCTAGGCCGTCCTCTTCGTGCTATGAATCTTCGAAATCCGAGGAAGAATCCATTAGTCAATAAGCTTTCAATTAATTCTAAATGAACCGCACGATAAACTCCACATGTAAAAAGCAAGATCCAAGCTTTTCTATTTTCTTTTAAATAAAGTGGTCCTGCTACATCAACACCTGTCACCTCAAATGCATAAGCATCTCTGACTCGATCTTCTGGGAGAGGACAAGGCACTGTATCAGGAGCTTTCGCCGAGTGTCTCTTGCACCGAACGCACTTCGAATCTTTGTACTGTTTTCTTCCTTTTATTATCCAAAATTGTTGACGAATATTGGTCAAAAGAACTTGAGTACCAGCATGTAAAAGTTGTAAATGGTAGTCTTGTACCATTCTTTCGACTAATTCATGTTTGGATGGAAGTACAATGGGGCACAAGAAGTTTTCATCGTCATGTCTTCTTAAAATCTTCGTCTTCAACCTTACAATTCCTTCTCCATCTCTGAAAGTAAAATGTCCCTTCAACTGTTCTTCATTAGAGAATGCTTCTTGTTGAACGATCTGCAATAATTTCCTCTCCGCAATGTCTAATTCTTCAACACTCAGGGTTTTCTCATAATTTTTTCTCCCATGTCTACAATTATTTATGAATCTTAGAATCCAAGAAATCATTCTTACAATTTTAATGTAACTTGAAAAGTAATTCAGATACCATTTTTCAGCGGTGATATTAGCCAAAGTCGAAACAATGTTCTTTCGTTTTCCTTTCATAATTTCTTCCTCACTTCATTAGTTGGCCACTCTTCATCGTTTTTCATAAGCCATTCTGGCTCTTGCCACCAGCGAGATTTCACAAAACTCTTAATCGAACACCCTCGTGATGGTATATCTGCAGGATTCTCGTTTCCTGGAATGTGACGCCATTCAGATACCGACGACAATTTTCGTATCTATTTTACTCTATTTGCGACAAATGGCGCCCAATGGTCATCTCTTTGGATCCAAGAAAGAGTAGTACTCGAATCTGTCCTATAGTTCCTAGGAACGTTGTCTAATTTGAGTGTTTGTAAAGCAAGAGCTGCGAGTCTGACTTCTATACAGCAGGATAATAGTTCTGGACAATTTATGGTCATTTTTCTTACTGGACTTACTCTGCTTTTAGCTGGAAGAAAATACACTGATACATTTTCACTTGTTTCTTTTCTTAAATAAATCACGCATCCATAGGCTTGTTTACTTGCGTCACAGACCGTATGAAGACTTTCATTTCCTTTTATATCTAACGCATGCAGAGCTTAAATTGCGCCGGAGTGTACCGGAATTTCAGCCGGAGCCCTAAATAAAAGGGCTCCGGCACTTCTTTTATGTAAGGGAACCACAATTTTAGCACATAAATTTGGGTTTTAATAATGAACATGCCTTGAAAATCAATTCTAACTTCTAAACGCAGGCCTGTCTTTCCCTCGCACTCAAGCCTTGCACAGAGGTTGAGACTTTTAAGGAAAAAAAAGCCTCCAGTCGTATGCCAAAGGCTTATTTTCCAGGATATGCAATGAATTTATGACAGCGGGTAAATTTTGTATCCCCCCCCCTCAAAGGACTAAAAGTGATACTCTGGTTATGAACATTCCACGCTAGTGACTTCCTACTGCAGAGCTCCTGTAGACTTTCTGAATGATGTAACCAAACGGGGGGACCACGGCTATCACTATACAGAGAATTCTTACGTTTATTCTCACGCTGTATTCAGGAAAGTTTATTCAGAAAAACTTTCTCTTTGACGGCTAGAATTATATCGACAGGGCACTGCGATCAGAAAGTCTTGAACCCTTCCCTCTTTATTTCAAAGCTATACTCTTCCGTTATCCTCATACTATTTCTAGAATTCTCACTATTCTCCTTAGTGGAGCTTTAATAGTTTTATCTTTTTACTTGGTGTGCTTCGAAAAACGAGTGGTACCGGTCATCCCTTGAAATAGTACATTATGCGTACAATCAGGGCTTAAATTCAGAAGGAGATCGACTAAGCTGCTTTTTAGCATCTAAGCTGAATTGTAATTCCAGCCGATGCCCCAAATAAGACAAGGTCCAATACTTTTCTTCTATTTCACTATTTAAAATTAATTTAATAATTTATCAGAGTTCTCTTTATATTTTTCTTAATATATTAAATATGATTAATTAATTAATCAATTAAATCAATATTAATCTGAATTTAAATTTATTATTTATTTTAATTTTTTAGCTATTTTATTTTTTTGTCCTTCCTCACAGCCTTCCATAGGGCTCCGGCACTTCTAATTTTAGAAATTAAGCCCTGAACGCATGTCTTTTGTATGAGTAGTTTAGGTGTTAGCGTTATCGGGCAGAGAAAACCCATGGGATTGAAAATGCGATGTACCGCAGACAATATATTTCTTCTAGTAAAATTCACTGGTTTGTCAGTAGCAGTCTTCGCCTCACAGAAAAGGCTATTATCTTCCTTATCCCACAAAATTCCAAAAACAGGAGTAGGTGCTAGACTGTTTTCAGATTTCAAAAGAGAAGTGTGCTCCCACCCTCTCAGATCGAATGACGCAGAATCTAATATTTGTTTCGATTCCTCGATGAATCGCGTGTTTCTTCATCAGGAACAGATGTGATGCAATTATCTACGTAGAATAATTCTTTTAAATTTCCCGCTGTTTTAGGATATTTAGACGAATTTAGATCAGTGTGATGGCTTAATAAAGCAGCCAATAAAAAATGACTGCAGTTCAATCAAAAAACAACGCGTTTATGTCTAAAAACTGTAAGTACTTTCTTGTCAAAGTCTTTCTACCATAAAAATCGTAAGAAATCTCGTTTACTCTTATTCACTGACATTTGCAAAAAAGCCTTTCTTATGTCTGAAATAACTCCTACTCTCTATTCTTGCGAAATCTTAAAATTATAGGAATAATTTGTTCCAGCAAATTTGGACTCTTTTTCTAGGCACTCATTAAGTGAGGCGGGAATTTTTGTCTGTACAGGAAGCATCAAATACCGGCCGCAGTTTCGTGGTCGAAGTTTCCTTGAATACCCCTTTATGTGGTAAATAGTGACACTGATTATTTATTTCGTGTTCAGGGACTTCTATAATTCTTTCATTTAACCAATCTGTGAAAACATTTTCGTAATCCTCGAATTTGCCCTTTTTTTTATCAACCGGTGTGTCGTACTGTTTAAACGCTGTCTAGCAATATCGAAATTTTGACTTAAACAGTCCTTTTCTATCACCCAAGGCAACTGAACCTCACATCTTCCCTCTTTAAAGGTAACAGCCCACCAGCGGCCGAGCGGTAAAGACGCTAAACACTGGTAGTTCGGTCCGAGGCTCGAATCCCGCGAACGGGCTGGCTGCATGGGTGTTTTCGTGGTTTTCCCCATGTGTAACGTGTATACGAGCCAGTTTCCCTTAGAAAGTCCTCCACGAAGGCATCCCTCCCTTTAGACAGCCCTCGTGTGCTTTGCCATAATTGAATAATCCAATCTTTTAAAGGTAACAATTTCGTTAAAATGATTGAATGCGGCAATTTCTGCATTTTGTTTCAACAGGGTCTCGAATACCCAGTTTCCACAAATTTTCAATCTTCGATGAGTGAATTAATAAGGAAGTTACTGCGACGGCATGAGTCACATTTTCCTTATCATCCAAATGATTAAACAGTTTTCCCATTAAAATCCAACACATTTTGGTTTCCATTGTAACTAATGTTGAGTTCAAACGTTCAATTTTGTTCTTTACTAATTTCCAATAATTATCAGCTCTAATGATAATTATTGGAAATTAGTAAAGAGATACGTTGTTGTTATCTAAAGATTCGTGATCAACATCCGCTAAAATTCTTCCCCTATCTTTTAACAACTCCTTAATATTTTCCGGAGGATAGTCTAGGTCAGCATTTGATATTCCATCAGTCTCTAAAACCTCAATAATTAATTCCTGTTTATCAAAAATGTTTTCCATTTTCACTTCCACTCGCACATAGTTCTGTTTGGTAGGCACTTAAGATCTGAAAGTGTTATTCATTATTTCTTCTTTTCCCACAACTTTTAATCCCAATTGTTTAGACAGACGCTTCTGAATATACGATGGTTAACTAGCGCTGTCAAATAAACAACGAACTAATTTATTGCGTGACCTACTTTTAAGTTCTACTGTCGCCGTCTGTAAAAATATTTTATTCTTACCAATGCTAATATGATTGCACGCTGAATTTTCTACACCTCTTGATTGCAATGCTTAGGGTTTTTCTTTTTTGTAACAAAGGGTAGCATTTTTTTTTTTTTTTTTTTTGTGCACGTAGTATACACAAGTTTTTCTCAGAGCAATCTGACAATCTATGACCTTGAGCCAAACAAATATAACATCTACCTTGTAATTTCAGCACATTTCTTTTTTCATTTACACTCATATTACACTTTTCACTATTATGTGTGTTATTTTTGCAAAAAACACAATTTTCTTCTTTTACGGGAGCTAATAATTCTGCCGCCGACGAGGGATTAACTTTAGAGTTAAACTTATTGTGCGTGTATTTAAAATTACTTTTGTGTTTGTCGAAATGTTTACTCTTTCCGTTCAATGGAAAAAATTTTGGTTCCAGTTTGTTAACTGTGTACGTTTGTTCGTGGCATTCATTTTTTTTTTTTTTCCTCTTTCAAAAAAGCGATTAAACCTGTAACATCAGATTCCTCTTTTGAATCCAGCTTTCGGTGATATTCGAGAATCAAATCATGAGGCAATAACTTCAATAATATCGGATTTAACAAGTGTCCGTACGAAACCAAAGTTACTGCTAAATTACTTAGGCTTCAAATGTTTAATTCACAAGCATCGTATAATCTTCTTAGTGCATTTAAGTTAGAATTTTTAACTGGTTCTATATCCAAAAGATTATTCATATGTGATTTTATAATTTTCTCTGGTTTTCCAAAGTGTTCCTTTAAAAGTTCTACGCACAAATCATAATTGTGTTCGGTTAACTGAAATCCTTCAATGACATTATACGTTGCCCTATCAATAACGATTTAAAGTATACAAATTTTTCAATCTTGGGTAACGCTTTATTCTGATCAATCACAGCTTGAAAACTTTAAAAACATTCTAACCATTTTCCTGAAAATTTTGGAATATTTAACTCTGGCAATTTCATAGCCGATGACGATACATTTATTTCAGAAACAGATGTGTTCAAAGAATTTGCATCTGATGCATTTTTCACAGACAAATTTTCATTACATTTATTCAATCTTATTCTAATTCTAAACTTTGCAGACATAATTTGTTCATTGTATTTATACTTGCAGAAATATCTTTTTCAAATTCTTTAGCATCTTTTAACCGAGTTTTGATATGTGAATTCAACATTTTCAACGTGTTTTCTCTTTCGAGAATTGTTTCATTTATCTCCTGCAATTCATCAATTTTGTGTTTTTGATATTTTCTGATAACAAAGATTCTATTTTTGTAATTAATATCGTTATGCTATTGCATTCATTCGTGCATTTCTGCTTCAGTTTGTCTAAGGCTTCCATGTTTAAAATTGAGTAATCACAATGTTGAAACTCATTTTTTTCCCCCAAATTTTCAAAGAAAAAGAGAATTGCTTACCTGTTCACAGGTAATTTATCTGCTAATCGAGATTATAATCTAAAAGTCCCTTGGTGAAGGTACCACTAAAAATGATGTTTCTGATCCACAGATTCTATTTGGGAGAGCTATCGAATTCTATATTCGATTCAAATTGTAACTTCAATTAAGTCTTAATGACTTTTTATTTTCACACATTTTTATAACTACAGTATTTGTATGACAGTTGATAATTACTTTAATGACAATACATTTTAGTTGGTTTCAAAATCCGAAGTTCGTCTTTACGCTCCTCAGAGCGGCTCGAATCTAATCTCGTTCCCAGATCTCAATTCGAGAAAAAGAAAGTAAGAATGCCCGCCACCTAGTGGCAAGAATGGGACACAAGGCTATTACCAAAAGACAAGAAAGGCAAATGGTTTCTTTTTTAATGGGCGGTGGGGGGGGGACACAAAAATAGGCGGAATTGGATGCATTGGTTAGACATAAAAATACCAAAACAAACATTTCTGTCAAAAGCTGGCGACTTTTTGGTTGGAGTGTAGATAAGCAGAAGGTTTTTAGAAACAATATTAGAGATTCTAAATTCTGAAATCATCTCTTTAAAAAATTTCAACTTTTTTTTCCATAATAAATTATAGAGGCTTGATTCAAGATTGCTTCTACTAGGTAAGAAGACAGAAAAGTCAATTTTGTTCAGAACCAAATTTTATTTTGAGATACTTCTATCGGATGATTCTTAAACGAAAAAACTGAATGTAAACACAGCGCCAATGCCAGAACCATTGCGGGGGCAATTTTTTTTTTAATTTTAGAGAAGCATTGAATAGCAAAATTTTTAGAATTTAGGACCCAGAGAAATTTCTCTGCTAGACAAAATGCCTAGCACTGGTCCTGTATACAGGTACTTTGAATAAGACTTGTGCTTCCACATCCTCCCTTTAATGCATTCAAATCTTCCTGCATAACATCAAGATTAAATATATTGCAGTTCAGCTGTTGTATCTGTTATATTCAAATCTTAAGTATCTTGTAAATGAACATTATTTCTTTTAAAATTTGCGAGTGGTTTGCACATAACAATATATCTTCCAAGAAAACTGCACGTTCTTCATATTTTTTTGGCTGTGTTTTGTTGTGATCCCTGCATTTTACTTTTTTTTATACTGCAATTTTTGCATAAATTTAAATATTTAAAAAATATATTAAATAATTTTTTGTATATTTTTATTTATAATTTTTCTTCATATAATAGCTGTATCAATAAACAGTTATTATCACTTTTACAATAATAATTTTTTTTGGTAATCAGCGAGATCTTCATTATGCTGATTAGTTGCTGGTGCATATTCTGTTATTGATCCCTTAATCATCACTGCCCCTATTAAAATACCATAAACCTCCCAGGCAGTCAGCTAATACTGACTTCTTTGGGAACACCTGATCTAAATGAATAAAGAAATGCCTGTTTCTTCAATCCTTCACTTGAATGGTTGACACAAATTCAAAAGGATATCTTGAATTTTTCACAGTTAGCAAGATCTGATAACCGGTTAAGATGCTTTAAGGCCTATAAAAATACATTGTGTTTTATATCTGAAATACACATTTTTAAAAAATGATATTTTAAATGCAGACTTTTGATAACAAATAAGTGACAATTTTAATAAGTCTAGACTGGAAATTTCTTCTAAAATTTCTCTGACTTACCTACTGCAAATTGAGTTCTTACTAAATATGTATGTTGTTTTAATTTAGTCACTGTATTGAACATTTTTAATAAAAATACCAAATGTTTCCCCATTAAAAAGCTTAAGCTGCACTTAGTCATTTGAAGTTTCTTCAAAATCCTTCTTCCCCCCCTTGTATGAGTAAAATTCTGCATGCTGAATAAATAATTAAAAAAAATATACAGACACTACAAGGAATTTAAGGATCATGTTTAATAAACATGCTAAATTCCAAATTTATTATATTTTTAAATAACAATTACTTAACAAAAATAAAATCCAATTCTGATAACATTCAAAACAAACGACATTTATTTGAAAGATAAAAAATAACAAAATATGAAAGGATTTATGACTGAGGGAATGTAAACAGATAAACACTCCAATAACAAAGATCAAGTGCTTCTTTAACTACTTCTGTTTTACAATGGAATATTTTGCACTTAATATTAACACTGCGTTAATTTTTTAAAATATCATAACCATGAAATAGTAAAGCACTGTATTAAATTTTATGAATTAACAAACAAATAAAGGAAGTGAATGGTGAGAGAATCTGAATAGCTTAGATACAAAAATTTGTATAAATGTAAATAGCACTTACAGCTCAAAAGGGAAAAAAAAAAAAAAAAACATGTACATGATATAAAATACTTCAATAAAAATTTAACATAAAAAGAATAAACTCTGTAAACAAAAACATACCATGAAATTCATTTAAACTGACAGGGCACTATAAAAGTATATCATTTGCAACCCCATCTAGAAACATACATATTTATAAAACATCAATAAATGATTAAAAAATAGTGCACACATTTAAAAACATTCATGTGCATTTTTAACACAATGGATATCAGCTCAATTTATATTACCATAAACAATTTATTATTCTTCAACAAAAGGTTTAATTTAAAGGAAAAATTATATATTACTGTACATAAATGCCATAAAATGCAGAAAAGTCTGTGTAAATAGTTCATAAAAATTTTAGCTTGAAGTGATTGATATTCTGAAAAGATTGCACCAAACATACATGTCAAGTTTTCACAGTCAACAAGCATCACATTTTAGCTATACACTTAAAAATTCAACACCAAAAAATATTTCTGTAAGACACAGAAGAAGATTTCACAAAATAGTTGAAAAGCTACTGCAGACTTGTATCATAAAATAATTAATTTTAAATATATAATTAAAAATTTAATACAAAATATATTTTAAGATGACATACATATACAATATGAAAATTCCCTTTATAGAAAATTACTATACGCATGTATCTGTATATCTTTTATAATGAGTCACTTTTATGATATGCATTTCATATGAAATCAATCGGAATACTCATTCAAAAATCCAAGGTAATGTTATGCCATCTGCAAATTCTGAATTTTATATTAAAAATGAAAAATTATAATTATCTCAAAGGAGAGAGGGATTTTACATTTATCTAAGAGATGCATATCATGCTGTAAAAAATATAAAGATTAAAATAATCATTAAATTAAAGAGCGTAAAATAAAAATCTATGCAAGATTATAATACATCAAGGAAATGGTTACAAAATCAGTATTACATAAAAAATGCTTAATTATTCATTAAAAATTAAATCATTTGACAGAGTAAAATTGTTTTATATGACATAATAGAAAATGCATTAGAACGTCTCAAGTACAATAAAAAGAATAAAATATAATTTCTGCAAAACAGTGCAGTAGCTCGAATATTAGTAAGACACAATTAACTATTAATTATGCTTGTACTTCTATCCTATATAGCACCAGTGTGGATTACTCCATTTGAAATCAATTCATGAATCTAGAAATAGTCACTAAGAAATGGGCTATTCTCTATTTGCCATCAACAGCAATATCTAAAAGAAAAAGTCCTAATATAATTAACCAAATGTATTACGCTCTTATACTAGTTATACAGCATCTTATAGAATTTCCTGAATTATCAAATATCTGTTGTTATTTCAAAAAATCATATTTAACTATCACTTAAATCATGTTGTATCTCTCTTATAACACTTTAACAAATAAAAACCTTTATTACCTTAATATTATTTAAACATATTATTATGGACTTATTATTATTACCTTAGTATTGTTTACACATTTTATTCAGAATTCTACAGACTTTTATACATAAAATACATGTCTAATATGAAATCTGGCAACAATTTACAATTGTCTTTTAATTCTTTAAAGTTTGATTATTTAAGCTCTGCTGCAGTAATAAAAAATTCAGTTACTCCAGTTGATATGAACATCATAATTACGTTAATTTTCCTTACATTTCATGAATAAGACAAAAAATACTTTTTTCTAATCTATTATGTATTTCATATCACAAGAAATGAATGACTATAAAGTAAATATGCAGTTCTGCTTCCTCCAATATCTAATAAATTATATGCATGCTATTTCATCACCTAATGAAAATTACAGTCTCTAGTATGATCACAACAAAAGTATTACAATTTTTCTTTTCACATTTCATGCCTGCCAAAATATACCATATATTCAGTTCAAACACAAGATTACAAAAATTATTAAAAATACTTTAAAATTGACAATTAAGAGAAAAATGCATTTTCCCATAATTAAATACAAACAAGAATCATTATTTGAAATTTTTTCTGATACAGGTGTTTCACTGATATACCCATTTTTACATATCAATGCAAATTCAAGCATACTTCAAAGGCCTCAAACTAAATGCTATATAAGACGTTAAGCTTTTATGCACAGCCATTACATCAGCAATAAATGTTTAATAACATAATAATTCAAAGAAAAAAGAATACAAAATGTAATACACAAAATCATAATAACTAATAACTAACAACAAAAATCAGCGTTATACCTACAAAATTTTCACAGGACTAGTTTCGATGGTTTTACCGAACCATCATCTTCAGCTGCAAAACCGCAAATGAACAAGATAGGAAATAATGATTAGATAAGATAAGAAAGCCTGGACAAGAATAAGCAAGTGGCGCCATCTGTTGGCGAAACCAGAACTAAAACATAATTTCTCTAAAGCCGAAGGCAAATTTGGATTGGAATTAGGATCGTTAACTAGAACAGAAAGATTTTTATGAATGTGAAATGCCACTAGAAAATCCAGTTCTCCAATGGAAGATGTTTTTTGAATAATTTTGGTAGCAGGAAAATTTGAAAGTGTGATTTTCGGACCAACAATGTTGAGCAACAGAAGACTTCTGTGTTTCCTTTTTTCTAACATATGCCTCATGTTCTTTGACGGGAAATTTTAAGTCTCTCTTAGTTTGGCCAATATAAATTAAACCACACTGGCAAGGAATCCTATAAATACCCCAGGAATTCATATCCGGAATGGGGTCCTTGAGTATAGAAGTTGGCATTTTATTGATGGGAGAATAAACAACCCGAAAGTTAAATTTCTGCAAAATATGTGCAAACTTATAGCTAATTGATGGAAAGAAGGGGAATGACAACAGAATTTTTATAATCTCCTAAAATAAGAGTGTGGCTTTTAGTGTGTTGAGATGAGAATTTTTTAACTGCTTGATTAATAATGTTGGGTGAAAAGCCCCTGTCAATAGCTATTGCTTTTAAATAATTTAGTTCTTCATCAAGGGCTAGTTTGGAGGAGCAAACTTGAAGAGCACGGAAAACATAGGAATAAATGAAGCTAACTTTTGTTTAGTCGGATGACATGATTTAAAGTGTGGTGGAAGGCAAACCGATGAAGGTTTACGGTAAACTGTAGTACTGAAGTTGGATGTGTTACGTGTGACCAGAATGTCGAGAAACGGAAGAGAATTGCAAGTCTCAAGTTCAAAAAGTGAACTGAATAGCAGGATCAATAGAATTCATTGTTGAAAGAACTTATTTAAATCATCTTTATTACCTTCAAACAGGGTAAAAGTATCGTCTACGTAGCGGAACCATGCCGGGAAAGTTTAAAGTTTCAAACAATTTTGATTCATAATAATGCATGTAGATATCAGCCAGGATGGGACTGAGGGGGCTTCCCATGGCTAATCCCTCAGTTTGCTTTGTAATATTTATTTTGGAAAACAAAATGTGTTTGTTTCAAAAGAGTTGAGTGAGAGAAATTAGCTCATCAATTTCGATGCAAGAGAAATGAAATTCGCGAAGTCTGGTTTCTAGACATCTTAATGCACCCTCCACTGGGACATTGGTGAATAATGATTTTACATCAAAAGAAACCATGAGTAAATTACGAGGAGAAATGTTTTTAACCTTTTTTACAAACTCTATGAATTTTTTTGGTGTAAATGTTATTGTCTAATAGAGTGGAAAATCTGGAAACTAAATATTTAGCTAATGGATACGAGGCAGTACCTAAATTTGATACAATAGGGCGGAAAGGAATACCACTTTTATGAATTTTGGGAAGAGCATATAAACTGGCACAATTCGCAACAGATGGGATAAGCGAATGTTTTAAGTTGCTTGAAATGATTTGCGAAGATTTGATCGCAGTTTTTATTTTGGATAAGTCCGAAGGTGAAGGATCTTTAGGGATCGGATTATATGGTCCTTCGTTGAGAGTTTAGTGACACCATCGATGTAAGTGTTCTTATCCATGACGACTATCTGGCCACCTTTGTCGGCCTTTGAAATGAATATCCGTTAGAAGATTAGTATTATTCGGCGGTTATGGTCTTAAATTGGGTCTTAACCAAAATCATATTAACAAAATTATAAGAGTTTATTGAAACTCCAGCAACAGCAGGTACGTATTATACATACTCATTATATATACAAATATATCTTTCTTCCCTAATAAGAACTACAGGTTACAGGTAAAAGTGGGCAAGACACCAAAATTTCAACACTGGTTCTGCTGCATCAACTGCAGCAGCTTTCAATAAATACAACATAACCAAGAAATGAAAAACGACAGAGCAGCGGTTTCTAACCTGTGGTTCGCATACCTCTCACAGCAAAGAGTTCTAATAATGGCTAATAAAAAAGGGATATGAAGTCTACATTTAACATTAAATAAAAGAGAAAATTTCAACAAGATTTTTCAAATGGTTGTTACTGACTGAAATGTGTACAAAGCAATGAAATTAGTTGCAATTAGACCCCCCTCCCTAACAATCATAATGCTCAATTTCTAACACATTGCATGTTCCTTCCTTTTCCTCTCTTTCAATCCATATTGAAGAGAATGATTGGCAGCTAACTATTATTCTAATATTGAGTGAATTATCAAATGAGTTACACAATTCTCTTTTATTCATAATTGTGATATTCAAACAAGTTTGAGTTGTATATGAAATTTTGTTCTTTTATTGTTATTATAGTGTTGTTTTTATATTTAATATAGTTAATAATGTTAAATTTATTATTTAGCCACTGATTTAAAAATGTATTAATGGATAAAAAGCAGGTTCTCACAAAGAACTGAAACTACGGTGAATAATAGCTTTGATTTGGCAACTGTGTTAAATCCTCCTAAGGAATCAGTGTTTACAATCAAGTGATGAAACTGTTACTGGTAGAATACTGGCCAGCCAGTAATAAGAAAATACAAAGCACCAGCCTCCCCAGAAGAAAAGAAAATACTTTGATGAGTATTTAAAAAACAAATTTTCATTTACTGGAGAGTAGAACAGCTCCAGTCTTCTTTGTATAATAAGTTATAATAAGTGGAGAGGTTTCATCAAATGGGAGAATAAAACATTTATTTAACTGCATCATTTAAAAACCTGACACTTTAATTAGGAACATGAAGAAATACAAAAAAGCATTAAATATTTGACTAAGGCATTAAAATGTTTGCTGTCATTTACAAACAGGAAACATGTGAAAGAGCACATTAACAACTGGATGTTGCTCTTGATTTATGACTTTACCTGTCTATATTCAATTCAGACTTTAAAATGCTGAACTCAGTAAAACAATTTCAAAGATCACATAAATAATAAAGCTTAAAAATTAATTCAAAGCTACTTTTCTAAGGTTCTTATGTAGTGTTTTTATATTAAATTTACTGTTTTGAGTGTAAGGGTCATTTACTTTTTCTTAAAAATAAAATTTTTATTTTTTTTCTTAAATTTAGTATAAGTTACATATTACTTTCTTGTAAATCAGAATCTCTCAAACTGTGGTCCGCAGATTACGAGTAGCCCTTGAAGCCTGCTTTAGCGATCCTTCTGAATTTCTATAAAAGACAAATAAATTTCAAATTAACTGTATATCTCAAAATTTCAGAGTTTAGAAATTACAACCACCTATCACTTCTTCTTCAAGACTGACATTTCATGAAACTTATTATCAGATATTTTTATCTATATACTTATCACTCAACAACAACAAAAGAAGGATTTAATGTACTGTGACTGTGTCGCTTCTTACAAGCACACATCCAAAGATAGAACTGCTGTGCAAAAATTGGCTGATTCTTCCATCTCATTAATATGAGTACCAACAAACATTTGATTTTCACTTAGTAAGATATAGATAACTCTAACAACCTTAAATTTTGAAAAACAAATATAAATTTTATTCCTTCACCTTAATTATTTAATATCAATAACAAATTAAATGAATTTCAATTAACTGCATTTTAAAAATAAAAGGTAATATTATATGCTGAACATATTGCTTTTGAAGGGGATGGGATTAGGGTGGTTCACAGAACATTCTAATTTATAAAATAGGACTGTACTTGAAAAAATTTGACAAAAGTTGCTTTAAACTATTATATGCTTTGTGTTTTACTGCAGTGCAATGTTATTTGAAGAATACTTATTTTTTAGTATATGCCTAGACCTCATTGCTAAGCAGTAAATTTAACAATTCACTAGTTTGTTTTATTTCTCTTTTCTAAATGATATTTAAAATAACTGTAAACATTTTGTTCCATTAATTTTATATTATTAAAATATCACAATAGTAAAATACATTGCAAGAATAACGGAGGGTGGATGAGTGGTCATAGTTTCTGAACAGGAAAGTTAAGGGTACTCTGTAATAAGAGTTATTAAAGAAATTAAAAAGGGGGGTGGCCTTATTCTTCCAAATTTCTATGTGCACAGAATTCAGATATTAAGATCTTAATAACCAAAAATAATTTCTTGAACATACTAATCCACTTCCAGATTATTATTAGTTAATATTCAGCCCACTGTAAATACAGGAGTTATGGAAGAATTAGCATAATTTGTCATTCAATATAATCACTGAAATAATATTTCAAAATTTAAATATTTAGAAATTAGTGCTGTAAAATGTACAGGCAAAGCACAGACTTTAATGCACATCCATTAACATTTGGTTCAATAACATTAATAGACTTATTGTTTAGATTAATTTAAAGATTGGAATTGGAAAAAAAAAGGTGATAGTATGATAAAATTTCTCCCCCCCCTAAAAACGAGAAGATAAATTCATATTATGCAAAACTGAAATTAAAGATATTTTGTCAGGCATTTCTATAGGATTATTTATTCATTTATTTTTGCAGATACTAGTGAAAATTTTTTTTCCATATATATTACAAATTATAAAAGCAGTATATTATATATATAAAGACTCCTTAAAAACTTATGCACATGAAATTTATCATCAGATACATAATTACTGGAATACTAATGACCTAATACCTGATACAATATTGAATTTATTGGTAAATATTTGCTAATGCTAGCAATTCCCTATCGTGATTTGAAATTTACTGTTGTAGAATACATGTACATAACATCCAACTGCTCCTAGGTCTAAAATAAAGTACAGTAAAACAAAATTAAAACAAAGAATAAAAACTACAGGTAACCTAAGTGATATTTATCTGGTTTGAACATTACAAAACATAATTACATTGACTTTTAATGAATTAACTGATTGTCACACTTTATAAGAAAGATGATGCTGCAGCAGCATTACATGCAAGTTTTAATAGAAAGTTAATGATTTATAAGAAATGCATTGCAAATATTTAGTGCTTCAAATCCAAACAGGAAGATAGAGTAATTATTGTTATACACTCAAATGGAATGGAAATAGGCTTTCTGAGTCAAATTATTTCATCTTAAAAAGAAACTCAAACATGGTCTTTGGTTATGGTATTAAAAAGTTTAAAACCCCCTAAATGATTACAATTCAGTATTACAACAATGCAAATTTTTGGTACTATAAGCAATTTTTGGTACTATAAGGGTACCTTATTGTCCATTTCCATTCTTATGTACAGTAATATTAAAGAAGTCAAACACAATAAATAAATATTGCAGCAGTCTTGGCAAGCATCTACACATCAACAACCATCTTTTTATGAATATCTGTGTTCCCAACAATCTGAAAAGAAATAAATAAGCAACAAATAAGATATTCACAATTTATGATATAAATAATTAAAAGTCTAAAGGCAAACAACTCTCAAATAACATTAAATAAAATTATTACTTGTGTAATTTCATCTGAATAGAAGAATGTTTTTAAGGATTTAGGCTATGGATAATTAATTAATTTACAGTGAAGCATCTGAATGTATTTCACGTGATAACATTGAATGGTAGTCCAGCTTGGACCCATTTACCAGATTAACACTCAAATGAATGCCAAAGTATCTAACTAATAACAATTATGTACTTCATAAAATTCAGAGAAACTTCCCAGTGAAAAAGAAATATGAGATAAATAACTGAATAAATAAAAATTAGATCAATAAGATAGATAAATAATTTAGTTACTCATATATTTTCCTATCAACCGCTTTCGATAAATAAAACCCGCTCAACAAACAGTGTAATTAACCATCAATAATGGCAGTTCTGTTTTTTTTTTTTTTTTCCTTAATTCGCCTTGATACGTGACAAATGCCACCAATAACCTTTCATAGATAATAACTTTCTGACTTAGTTTTCTCTGTTTTTCTACCGCATTACAACATGTGTTATTGTGGCTAGTCTCACTTAATCAGAACAAATTCATCATATCAAGGCAAGAAGACTACACCTGTTGTTGTCTTGGGCTTTGACCACCATGTATACGACAATATGATTTCGTACACCTTGCCCCAATTTTGGGGGAAAAAAAAAAAAAGCAACTATGGGATAGGTCCAGCAACCCTCTTCCCCTATCATCAAAGCACTCGGGAGGACTTATAGCTCACCCTTTGTATTTTGTATTTTTAGTTCCCCATGCCACACAGACACTATACAAACATCCATGCTTTTGCCAGGTCACAGGCCCTTTGGTATGGCAGGCAGCGTCACTAACCACTGTACCATCTAAACAGCTTTTATAACCACAAATAATAATAAAAATGTAAGATTTATGACTTTTAAAAAATTAATCTTTTTTCCATCAGCAATTTTTAAAAAGTAAATACAAGTCTTTATCATTTATTTTTACCTTTCATGCTTATTTTTGACAATTTGTTTCTTGAAAGAAAAGTGCATAGGCAAAAAATGCAAGGTAGAATAAGTGATAAGTGCCATGAAATTTTCCATGAAAATGAATGTGTCTATGAGGACTCTTTCAATGAAAAATTATTTCCGATGGGGATATAATAACATTTTCATCTTAATTACAGGGCTAAACTTTTCAAAATTTTAAAAATACTAATAATAAGTAACAGAATGCCACTCAAAAACCTCACTTTAAGAATATTATTAAAAAAATGATCTAGCAATTTGATGTTCAAAGCTAAAATTTGAAAAGAATTTACTTAATTCATACCAGATAATAAGAGAACACTGCAGTTTCTTTTTTTAGTCTCACTGCAAATTATTTCATTAATAACAAATTATTATTTCTGGAACCATAAAAATTGCATATAAAAATACAATCTGCAGTTCTAATTTTAGTGAAAATTAATTATAACGGATTAAAAAAAAAAAAAAAAAAAAAAAAAAAAAAAGGAAAACAATGGAACACACTAATGTTCAAATGGTGCTCAAGCAGAAAATTTCAACTAAAAAAATAATAAAAAGAAATAAACATATACTAAATATTATATATATATGTTACTACAGAATTTTATAATTACCATTAGATTTTTTATTGTGATGCAGATACTAGTGTAGATATAGGAGTATTACAGAGAAATTCAGTTGTAAAAATATACATATGAAATTAAAAATACCTTTTATTAAATATAAAAGTGGTATAAATAACACTTATGGATGAATATTCTTATGAGTAGTATCTCATACCAGGTGGACTGGAAAGCTTTGATGTTTTTGGACATGGTTGCAATTTAAGGTAAATTAAAAACAATAACATCTCAAGTCTTTGCAAAGTGCATGTATTTCCTGGTCCCTTTTAATACCATTTTGCTCCTTTCCCATTTTTGTGTGTACAATTGACAAAGAAGTCCAAAGAAAGATGAAAAATACAAATATCATTCAGCATTTGTTCTATGCAATAAATGTTAAAAAGACATTAATTATAAAATTGCCAAAGGTTTCAGACTGTTTTTCAATGTACTATGATAACTTGAAAAAAAAAAAAAAAAAAAACTCCAGGAAGGTAGGGAATTCAGTCTTAGCAATAAAGCATACTATCTTGTTTCAGTCTTTAACACAAGAAAGAGAAAATGATAAATCTCTTCAATCAATTCTACACACAAAAGGAAATCAGATGCAGTGATCTCATAGATAGAAGATACAATAAAATATTAACAGACAATCACAGTTTTATCTTCCCTTATACTGCAAGCATTGCTATGTGGGTTTTAGATATCTTTGTCAATTTGACCTCTTTCAGATGAACTAAATTGAAGATGTTATTTTTATATATGTATTTAATGTATTTTTTTAGTTTTATTAGGTTTTAACAGCAATTTGGTATGTTTTGATAGGTTTTTCAGGAGGCCTAGAAATACTCAGAAATTTTTTCCACAGAAATAAATGGTAGTTGCTTTACATTGGTAAATGGCATTCACTTTACACTGTTTTAGCATATGAAAGGCTTCAATAGAGCCTTCTCCTTTCATGAAGTAAAAAAGAAAACTTTTGTATTACAAACTCCCCAAAGAAAATTCCCATTGAATATTTACAATAAGTAAACAACATCTTCATTGTTATAACAAAGGTTAAAAACTCATTTCTTCACCTGCCAGAAATTTAAGACCACAAATCTTTATTAACCACAATATAAATAAAGCAATAAATTTTATGCTGCTGATAATAAAGGACTATAGAGATAAAATTATACACTACAAACAGCAGCATATGAAACTGCAGGATACGATGAAACAAAGACTAATAAAACAAATGCATCATCATACTCACATTACAAAACTCTTCAAATGAAATCTTTCCATCAGCATCTTTATCTGCAAACTGAATAGTTTTATCAACAATCTGCTGCAACTGTGTATCTTTCAAATTATTGCCAACCATCATTTTCAAGACAGTGAACAATTCTCCATTAGAAATGTATCCATCGTTATCAATATCATAAATACGAAAAGCAACTGAAAATGAATAACTTCCATTTAATGACTAAACTGCATATATTACAAATCCAATGCAATAAAACATTGAGTATTATATCAGAAAAATTAGTTCATCTAATATTATAATATTTAATCATATAGTAATTAATTATAGTAATCAGCCATTAATAATTAATTATAGTAAATTTTATTAAGTAATTACCATTTGGTAGTTTAGACACATGTTAATATGTAATGTAATAAATACTCACACCTTAATTTTGATTCCTTATCTCCTTTCACACTGAACTGCGAGACACCTTCAATGAATTCTAAGAAGGAAAAAATAATGGCATGTACAGAATATGCTTAGCAACTTTTGAGTTACATACACAACTTGCTTCCTAGCAATGGAATAAGATGCTCAAAGAAACAAATTCACCTTATATTATACATATGCATGGAGGGAAAATTACAAGACACTAAAAAGCTGCTTTATGTTAATTAATGTCAGGCGGATAGTTCAAAGTCAATTACATAGTGATAAGTATTATGCTCATCAAATCGAGGTAGAATGTTCCTACCTCTCCAGAGCAGGCCAAATGGGAGATTTCCCATACTGCATTGCACAGTTCCTTAATTCTAGTAAACAATAATAGCCTAACTTGCAGTTCCACTTGCTGAGTATTAGCAATATTTATAGCATGAGAAATATATGGTGGTGCAAAGAAAATTAGATGGTTTCTAGGACGTATAGAAGTACATAGAGATATGTACAAGTTAGATGCATTTGGTATATAAGAAATACTCTTCAAATCAACTGCTTAGACATGAATATCGCATGAACGCAACAAATTAAGGCTTGGGTATGCCAATTGAATGATATTAATGTTGCATTTATAAAGCAATACATAAATTTTCTTCAGCAAATCCACCATCTCTGATGAAGCCGCGATTATTCTCACAAGCACATAGACTGTAGGTGCAAAAATATTTCTAGAGAGAGCCGGGGGTTGGGGGGGCAGAAAAAGAAAATAATAATTAAAAAAGTTAAGTAAGTTTTTTTTAAAGTTCACAAAATAATTAATGAACTAAAAGGAAAAAAAATTTCATCATACAATTTAACGGTAACAAGATTAAAAAATTTTTTCTCTCACAAGTACTTTCTACAATTTATACCATTAATATCAATGGTTTGAGACGCCCTTAATAAATTTATGAAGATAATAGCTATCTTATACTTTTGACGATCAATTTTGATAATTAGATTTTGTTATTTAGTGCCCTTGTTTATTATTATGATATAAACTGTAGATAATTCTGTAGGTAATTATAATCTATTTTTCCTATTAAAGTGCATGATAAATTTTTTCTTCTTCTGTTGATTATTTTATGGGTTTTAAATAAAAGCTTATTTCATAAAAACTAAAAAAAAACTTTTTTGACTTTAAAATCTTTTTGTATCAAGTGTTTAGTTTTGCTATCATTAAATTATTCAATTAATGTATCTTAACAATGAATAATCACTCTTTCCTCCCAACATCCTATTATTGCCATATAGCCATAATGACAACATTGTTTGCAGTGGCGTAAAGAGAAGGTAGATAGTGGCCTTCTGAAACAGTCTTAAAGACAAAAATCGCAAAGTTATTTGAAGGAGCACTGCGTGAAGGGACTTCTGAGAGAGCAAAGCACACACAATTGTTAAAAGCATCAGTACAATAGAAGTGGAATCATAATATGGATGGGCACCATTTGAAAGGAGGCTTGATTTACCGTTTTTACTAACCATAATGAATTCCGAAACACAGAATAAGGTTCTTGATCCTTACATCAAATGTTCGGGGAAAAAACTTTTTCTTAACCTTTTTGCGACGGTGCACCTTTGTTTAAGATGCTCGTGTGGGGCGGAAAGAATCAAAGTCAGTCACCGCCAGGACGGAGGTTTTGCATCGCTAAGCCTAATTTTATAACAAAAATCAGAAAAACAAGTTTCGCTTCTAGCATCGTAATTTTTTTGTATCATTTTAGATATTACTTGAGCTCTTATATATGTTAAAATCAGGCCTTAAAAACATTTTTTCTTTATTTTACATGAAAATATACTTAAAAAATTGCTTATCTTCTAAAATAATTTTCGAAGCACTATTCAAATTATTCCAAAGTTTTAATTGATTAAAACCCATCAATAAAGTTTAAAATTAATAAAAGGAACACATAAAGACTATTTACAGTAAGAAGTAAAATTTTAAATAAAAACGAGTGTGGTAAATCTCGAAGAACAGAGAAGTATCACTCTTAGAAAATGTATCACATTTTAACTCTTTAGAAAATGAATCAGTATTCTCATTTGCGTTAGTTAAATGGTTCACTAACCATACGCGGATATTCTTCCTCTGATAAATAGCGCCTTCCCGCCATGATAGACTGGAGGTGAGGCTTTTCTAAATAAAAAAAGAAGGAACCGTATATCTGAAGGCAATGCAAAACATAACAGAACTCAACATAGTTAACCCTAAAAGACCGTACATAGTAGAGGGAAAAAATGGAATAAAAAAAAGGAATTCGATATAAATCAGACACGCGAATATTTATATTAGCACGCGGCGATTTAAAGAGCCCACCTCTATTTACGCTTTCCCTCCCCCCCACCTTCGCAACAGTTGATGAGTAAAATACCAAAGTCAGACGGAATATATCAAACTCACATTAAAAACTGTGTTCATTTCAAAGTAATGGACATAGAATGCTATCTAGTGGGCCTTCATAAAAACGTTCCACCTTAAAATGCGTATACGCATCACCAGTCCTCTGAATGCAATCTCTACTGATGCATGGATGGGACACCCGGCTGTAAGAGACGTTCTTAGGAATGCATATATGGGATGCCTGTCCTGAAAGGGTTCATGGGTGATAGTCCTCATCTTCATCATCACACAGCAGTACTGATTGACTACTTTGAGGATGAAGGAATTCAGCATATAAAATGGTCTACATACTCTCCAAATTCAAATCTCACAGGTGTGGAATGCACTAGGTTGCTGTTTTGCATGACTACAGCTCCCATCCAGAAGTTTCGAAGTGCTACATGAACTTCTGGATAATGCATGGAAAAACATGCACCGTAATTATTTTTTTCCATGTTTCTCTAAAAAGTTGTAACATCAACTTTTCCCTACCCTACTTTAATATACTTGCTATATTCACAAAAAAAAAAAAAAAAAAAAAAAAAAAAAAAAAAATTAAGAAATAGGTAATTTCGCATTTTGATGATATGTCAGGCACGACATACTATCAAAGTACAGGCACAAAAATGTTAAGCATGACAAAGATCTTTCGCAAGTCCTATGTTCTTAGCTGCAAAATCAATTGAAGTTCTATGAGTTTTCATATTTGTTTCTTTAATTTTTCCTACCAGTGTGCAGATATAATATATATGACACACATATGTGACACACATATTTTAGATATTCAGAAAATATGGAAATAATTTGGTTATTTTAACCATTAATTACTTCTGTTTGTCAATAAATAAAATAACTCAAAAGAATTAATACACAAATAAAATCCAAAATTACTTAAATTTACTCATCAGTTTAACTTTTATTACAATTACATGAAGTAAGAAAATATTTTAGGACTCAACTTTTGCATTAATTGCCTAAATTTAAAATATAAAAATTCAATATAATGAATTTTTAGCATAATCCTGAAAGAATAAAATAATTATAAAATCAACAACAACAAAAAAGAGTACAACTCCTATATGCACCCTCAGGGTCGCCAAATGCGGCGATATGTGTTGTGCGCTGGTTTTTGGGGTGATTGTGTGTTCTGCGATGGTTTTGGGGGCAATGTTAGTTTCTATGGCAACCCTTTTTATGTGGAAACTTGTTGCAATGAAAGACGTGTTGGCAAAATTTTAGTCGCGTGCCTGGTACAACTATTTTTTCGGGTGGCTGGAAGTTCTACAAGCATTTAGGAGAAGAAGGTTTTGAACATTTACTTGTGAAACATAGTATCAATTTTGTGGATAGCGAGTTTGGCTTTCATATATATATGATAGAAACTACATGGCGGCATGTTAAAGCTACGTTGCCTACTTATAATCGGAAATGTGATTTTGCGTTTTATTTTGTGGTTTATATATTTTTCCATCGTTGTTCTGAAACCGGAGAAGATTGTTTTAACAAATTTGTGGTAAAATTGTTTTGGTGATGTTTGAAATCGGTATTTCTGCCGTTCAAAGAAGCATTCATTCATGGTAAGTGTGCATTTTATTTCATTCTTGTTCTTATTTTGTAGAAATGTTATATTCATTGTTTTTTTAGTATGAATTGCCGTTGTTATTGTTGTTTTTTTTAATTGTTTGAAATTTATTTTAGTTATTTTAGTTTATTTTGTTGATTAGTGCACAATGCCTAAATCATGGAGGTAGGAAGTAAGATGGAGTAGCCCTAAGCAAGTTTCTCCCGTACCCTACTCTGAAGCACCGGCGATCCCTACGTAGTGACCAAAACATTGGGTCATTTACCATTGAGTTCAATGGGATTTGACGCGTTCGGATGTAAATATTTTGTAATTACGTCGTAAATATACATATAAATGTATATATTTTCTTTTTCTACAACACTTCAGAGTCCTAAGTATATGAAAACAACATATTTTTAAACAACATTTCATTCTGAACGGAATTAAATGCTATACTTTTCACAGGACAGTTTTCTCAGAATGGTTTAATTTGAATGAAATATTTTCACAAGTTTTCGTTAATTACATTAGAAAAAAAAATTAAGGTAATTCGATTTTATTCGGTTAAGGTACAAAAATTAAGATCAAAGTTTATTGTATTATTAATATTAAAATTATGCATTATTTCTTTTCTATTTATAGAGCTTCTTCCTAAAATACTTTCTTAAATATGACATGATTTTTTTGGCTTCTGAGGCATCTTTTAAATCGAAAAATGTAAGTCAATTTATAATTAATGCTCTATTCGGTTCATTTAAATTAGAGAATTAGAGAATTATTAGGAATTAGGGAAATACTTTAAATAGTACTTAAACTTTCTCTGAACATTTCTGAAAGGGAATAAATAAGTTTTTTTTTTTTTAAAGTATTATTTAAAACTTGTAACTGAGTTATTATAAAATGTAAGGGAATAGAATAATTCTTTAATTATACTTATCAGATTTTTTTTTTTTACCCTTCATTTCAACAATACATATTCCAAAACTCTTTATTACGTTCTTAAGTGCGCATCTCATAGCATTTGCTTTACAATACCTTTTAACAGATTGCTTTCCAATACGAACAATTCTTGCTTAAATAGTTTTATAACGTATTTGTCAACAGGATTTCAATTTATGTTTACAATTCAATATTAAGGTTATTATATATTTAGATAACATTTATAATCATTATAAATTAGATACATTTAATAATTAGATTTCTTCACAGTACTTTCACAGTTGTTTATAGGTGAATAAATTCTTCACTTCAAATACATTTAATGAATATTTAAGTATTTTGTCAAAGGCAGATACATGCTTTTTGCAAGCACATGCATAAATACCCATACATATTTCCTATTTTTCATTTCCGGCATGTGCAAATCTTTAATTTCTGTGCATTCACTATATTTTTTGTGTAAAGTAATTTACACTAATTTAGCATACACCCGAAAGTTTTACATAAAAAATATATATGAATATAATTTGAATGAAAATTATATGCATTATTTTTAATACCCACTCAAAGGTAAGTTTTTCTTCAAAATTCCTCTGCGATGGCATCTCTCTCTTTAGGCAGATAGCCCTTGCATGCGTTACTCTATTTAATAAAAACTTAATCTGACCTATGTGCCTAATTACAAATAAGATATATAAAATTAAAACGATGAGTAAAATGAGCAGCAGTAAAGCTTCTCCTCTAAGAAATTTTAAAAGGTACATGTTACAATAATACATGGATGTGAAAAAAATTTGTTTTATTTAAAACATTTTGGCATTTGGAAAATAAAATAAAAGTAGCGAATACTCTATCAAGGGTATCGAAAGACGTATACAATTTTAAATGTACCGTAAGGTATTTTTCATTCTTTAAGCATAACATTTTTCTTAAAATCTATATTTTTGTAGTGCAACAGCTTAGAATTTTATAAAACAAAATTCATAATCAAAATCGCTGTTGTTAGTTATCGAAAAATACCAAGATGTGATTTTTGCGTAAATGTCACTAAACTATACAAATTGTTATTATCCATAATGCTAGGAATATTTCTTTTATGCGAATTGTCCCGTTTTTCGATTTGTATGGAACTGTCCTCTGTTGAAATACTATCAGAATCCTGTCAAGCGAGCTTCTGAATGTAAACAAAGAACACCCCATCTGGTGACCCAAGCTTGAAAGCAGTGCTTCACTTCTAACGCCGGATGGCTCCTCCTTCCTTTCCTACCTCCATGGCCTAAATTGTGCAATTCGTAGATGTTTTTTAAAGTTTAAACAGAACGCTGTGTACATGGTATTCTTGAAATTTATTGTTATGTTAATTTATTAAAGTGAGGTACGCATAGTTCGTAAATTCCTTCGCTGCCTAGATTGTGCAATTCGTAGATGTTTTTTAAAGTTTAAACAGAATGCTTTGTACATGGTATTCTTTGAAATTTATTGTTGTTATGTTAATTTATTTAAGTTAGGCGTGCGTAGTGTGTAGATTCTTTCGCTGCATAGATTGTACAATTCTGTGTTTTTTTTTAAGGTTAAAACATATTGCTGTGTACATGGATTCTTGTGAAATATTTTTGGTTAGAAAATTTACATTTTTGCTATCTAAATTTTTTGTTTCGGATTTTTAGCTTAAATTGTGTGTTCAAAACGTGGTTTTTGCACATTTGAAAATCACGTTTTTGCAGACATTTTAGGCTTAAAGTTTGAAATGTAGACAAAAAATTTAGGTAGTAATATGGTAGCATGGAGTTTCTTGCCAAAAATGTTTGGCAAGAAATTTTTCGCTATCCGAGGGCATTCACCCCTAAAAAAACATTAGAACATATTAGGAACTTCAACATTTATTATCCCATCGACCATGAAAGTTGGCTACAAAGAAAACTGGTAGAGATCTTTCAAAAGTTACACTAATTGTTCTGGTGGAATTTTGAAAGAACTGTCCCTCTTTATTTAATAAACAATCAGCATTTGACCCGATACTTTTTTTGAACTGATTAAAAAGGCTTTTGTCGATTTCTGTTATTTTGTTAAGCTCTTCAATTTTAAGGGAAACTCAGTTTAGAATGCTATGAGTACAAATTTCATGCAGGCAATTCTTCCAGTCTATTATTGTTTCATCAGCCAGATTCAGCTGACAATAAAGTCCATTAATACAATTTAATTAAAATTTTTTTAATGAGACAATCCAATAACAAGAAAATAATTCACTGCTTTCTGTTCTATCAAAGGCAGGTCAAAATTTTAACATATTTCTTTTCAAAATTGAAGAAAAAACAGCAATAATAATTAATTTATGTCCTTGTTTATAAAAGCATAAGGTGGCTTAATGAGAACCAGTTGAGGTTAAAAGAAAGTGCGGTTGATCTTTACATTATGGTAACTTGGCGTTTTTTTGGCGAAAATTTGGCGACCAACTCTTTACAGCAACCCTCTACTTTTTTTTTTCCCGCCGCCATTTTGTCTTCACGAGACATGTTTCTTTTCTTTTTATCTACTGAACACTTCTTCCAACAATCTACTAGCCGAATTAAACTTATGCTAGAAATTTTATCTAACAAAACTGCTTAATCATGACAAATATTCACTGCAAAATTGGGAAAAAGTGCACAATACCATACTCCTTACGCGTTTTTCAAAATAACACATACACATAAACCATGTACACGCCGACTTATTTTTCTTAAAAAAACATCCCAGAATTGCACAAAAATGGCATTGCGCACACTCTTCACTATATCCATGTACACTGCTTTTTCTCTCATAAATTAGAAAAATTTCACGAAAATACATGACAATTTTCTCAATCTTTAAACCCGGTAAAAAAAACATATATGAAATTACCTGATCGCGAAAAAGTATTTACCCTTTCCAAATATGAACATTTCCACATATAAAATAAATAAAATATCCAAAAGCTTTTACCTCTAAATCATCTATTACATTATACACGTCACCAATGAATTCATACCACAAGCATTACAAATACTTAGTATCAAATATTTAAATTATTTCCATGCACGTTTACTTCAACTTAAACGTATACCAAATTCCTACAAACATAAAATTCACAAAATAACTATCATTTAATTAAAATATCACTAAACCATGTACACGTCGACTTACTTTTACTTAAAAAAACATCCCAGAATTGCACAAAAATGGCATTGCGCACACTCTTCACTATATCCATGTACACTGCTTTTTTCTCATAAATTAGAAAAATTTCACGAAAATACATGACAATTTTCTCAATCTTTAAACCCAGTAAAAAGAACATATATGAAATTACCTGATCACGAAAAAGTATTTACCCTTTCCAAATATGAACATTTCCACATATAAAATAAAAAAATATCCAAAAACTTTTACCTCTAAATCATCTATTATATTATAAACGTCACCAACGAATTCATACCGCAACCATTACAAATACTTAGTGTCAGATATTTAAATTATTTCCATGCACGTTTACTTCAACTGAAACGTATACCAAATTCCTACAAACATAAAATTCTCAAAATAACTATCATTTCATTAAAATATAATTAAATTCGAAAACACTACTTAAAATATAAATGAGCACATACATTAAATTAATAAAAATTACCTTACAATCCTAATTACTTTAAACTAAATCATTTCTAATAACAATTTTCCCAATAATACCAAATTCCTTTACTTCCACCTTACATTAGAACAATGCATAAAATAATATCCTCAAATAATTAAAAATACTAACTTACCTATCTTCTTCAGAATCTTGATTACGTGTCCGATAAACTTTTCTTTAGTTACGGCCATGGGATCCAAAAATTCATGAACACTGTTTCACACAACACAGAAGAATAACCAAATACAAAATTTCCAGATTTTTTCCCGATTTCCCCTTTTCCGATTAAAGAACCGTAATTCGTCCATTAATATCACATGACATATCCCATGATCTCTCATTTCCCTCACACAAAATAATGCGTAATCGGAACTGAGTACTGCTCACATTATTACCAAAGTCCCAGGTAGTAACCTTTATCGCCTCCAAAATGTCGCCAAACTATCAGTTACCATATTGTAAAGATCAACCGATGTTAAGAGTGTGTTGTTACATCGCACTTACCAGTAAATATCATGCTGTTGGCAAAAGTTTCATGGTCAGTGGGATAATACATAAGAACCAGATCTTCTATAAAATTTCATTCAAAATGAAATATCACTCTTAATTTGAACGTGGATAGTTTACCTTTGAAATCTACTTCTCCATTGCCATCAGTATCAAAAATTTCTATCACTCTTTGCACTAAAGGATTTTGATGAAGTTCTGGAAGAGACATGAATTCTTCCACACTTAAGGATCCTGAATTGTCCAAGTCCAGTTTCCGGAATCGCTTCCCTAATCTTTTTATTTCATCTGCATCAACTGTAAAAGAATATAATACAAATGTATCAACCAATCACAAAAGCAAACAGTAGACTCTAATATAAAATGACAGAAAATAAATAAATAAAACACTACAAAAATTATACCAAAAATATGTGATAATGGGATGTGAATTAAAGATTAATAAATGAAAATCTAATAAATTGCTTGATTGGTAGATCGCATTGTGGCACAATAACCCATAAATTCTTATAAACATGCAGGATGACATGTGTGATCTAAAAGAAATATAAAAGTAACTTACCCCCAAAGGATGACAATTTAAATAATACGAATCAATCAATATTTATTATATCTTGACAGCATTAAATTTTGAATCAGTACCAGCATAAATTAAGCAAATATCGCCAGTTAGAAGTATATTAGTCCTACCATTTTGAATCCTAACCTCTCGTACGAGATGTGCGTAATATTTCAATCAAAGTAGATCTCATTCCATCAACATAAAGCAAAGTTTCGTGAGAAAAAAAAAAGTCAAAATTTAACAACAGAAATAGAGTTAGCTGGCTATATCAATATATTTTTGAAGAAGCACAATGTGAATACTTATATCATTCGGAAAGATCTAGCACGTGCACATGAAGACTTCTCGAAGTTTTTTAAATTGTAGAACATCATTATTAATATTCGGCAGTTGTTAGATCTTCAGTTCCAATTTCTTTACTAGAAGGAATACCATGGCTCTACATCTAACAATTGAGTTGGAAGTGAAAAAAAAAGGATGGGGGGGGAAACAACAAAATGGCACACGCGTCAGCCGGGGTGAAGACAGTCGGAATACTGTCCTACACCTTCGTAGCCCAACAGCAGAAGGAGGAGAAACTGGTTGTAGCCGTCAATTTCGCTTTGTCATTCAGCAGTCGGAGTGAACACACTTGACATTGAATAAATGTGGAGGGTTGCCTGCACAGCGACTAAATTGGCAATATGCCATGGACGAAAAGAGAACCTTCTAGAACAAATTCTTACAAGTTTAGCCCAGAATGTTCTTGAACACAAGCCGGAAGTTATATAAACCCTGCTGATCAGCAGTCAGTGAGAGTGTGCCTTGTCTAGATTGCGAGATAGTTAGTATCGAGTTAGTGTCTAGTCTAGCAAGTCAATCAAGTTGACAGCCGGGCAGCGAGTGCCAAGTGGGTCGCCGAGTGCACCGAAAGAGTCTCGTAGTGCATTGCAGTTAGTGCATCATCAAGAGAGCGTTTGAGCTCCGGGAACGACTGAACCGAAGAGTCGGGAGCTGTGCTCTGTGTGTCTTCGAGTGCATCACGAGTTGTAGCATGGAGAGTCTCGAGAGTACGTGGAGTTCCGAGAACGACTAAGCAGAGTCTTGAGCTGTACTCTGGTGCTTTGCCGTGAAGCTGTTTCCACCGTGATAGCCTGATCACCTGGAGGCTGTGTCGCTGATCGTGTCAGCGTGTTTGTACTAATTCATCGATGACTGTAAAAATGTCTTTTGGAGCTGTCCTTACAATACTGGCCAATAAAGTATGTTTCAATACTTCATCAAGTAGTATTGTCGTTATTCACTCCAAATCCTCACAAACCCTGTACGAATGTGAAGGAAGAAAATAACACAACAATATTATAAAAAGTAGCAGTCTTTTCTGTTATTGAATAAACTCATGACTAATAAATTTTTATAGAAAGGTATATACATGAACATTGTTGTTGGCCTCAATAAAATAAAATGTGTTTTTCGTATGTCTTGTCACAAGTTTTTGTTTCCAAAGCAAGTATGGTAGAAAAAAAAAAAAAAATCTTTTTTTTTTAAATATATCATTTCTCTTCTTTTGTTATTCATTGCAATAAATAACCTAAGAGATATATTTTTCACTTTCAGAAAAAAATTACCACATTCTAAATGAGTTGATGATGAAAGTATGTTTTCTAGTCGAAGTATCAATTTGGCACTGTTTGGCCTAGACAACATTGTTTGGCATGTTAGAGAACATTGTTCTACAGTCAAAAAGATATAAAGCAAGTTTTTAGGCTACTACATTAAACAATTATTAATTTAATTATAATTTAGGAACACATGCAATAATTACTTACAATTGGAGCACATTTCCATAGGTAAAGATGATTCATTACCCTAAAATAATAAAGAATGAAATGCTCATAGTTTTAAAAAACAGTATGATTCAATTAAACATAATGTTCTAGAAGTTAACATATTTTTCAAAAAATGCTAATACATATAATACACCACAAAAGATTCAAAATACAGACATTCTACATTTTAAAATTCTAAAAAAATTAAGAATGTTCAAAGTATTAATTCAAGAATTATAGTAGAACGTTTTTTGGAGAAAGTGCTGAATCACCCACGGCTTGGCGCGTTTTTAAGAATTCCACATATTTCGTATCCATGTACACATCGACCTATTTTCACTTAAAAAAACATCCAGGAATTGCACAAAAATGGCACTGTGCACTCCCTTGACTTTATCCATGTGCACATCGACCTATTTTCACATAAAAAGGTTAAAGAAAATTGACAAAAACCTAACTCTACAAGAGTTAAACAAATAAAAAGCGCCAAACAAATAAGTGGGCAATTCGCCACTTTACCCCGTTTTTTACCTACAGAAGAAGAAAACTAGAAACTAAAAATTCTTCAGGTATGGTTAATCAGATATCTTAAGGAGCTGATGATTACAGTGAAAATTTCATACCTAACTGGCATTAATGAATCTTACTACAGTCAAAAGTCGTTGATCCGGACTCGTCACGACTTTGGCGATTCCGGATTATAGATCATCAGTTTAAATCTGGTAAGATGGCATGCAGAAATTATAAAATTAAAAATATGAAACCGTAATTTATGAAATAAAGAACAATTAAGATCTAAAGGATATCAAAATTTACAAAAAAAAAGCTTAATATTTATTTGTTTACTTTATTAAACATTTCTTTCAATGTAAATCGTTTATGTTGCTTTGTTTTATGTGCTAATACTTTCTCTTAATTCTATAAACAGACATAATTTCTTGTGCAGTTACAGAGTTCCGCTGTTCAAGTCCTATACAGTCAAAAGTCGTTAATTCGGACACCCATAATCCGGAACTCAAAGCTAAAATCTGTCTGCGCATGCGCCGCATTGACGCATGCGCATAGGCGTTTTACTCGTGCGTGCAAGACATTTACGACTGCGCATATGCGTCTGCGCAAGTGCAGAATACGTTTTCGCGTGCGCATTTAATATATAACGGACGGTATAAGCTAAAGTTATCTAATTTTCTATTTCAGTTAATGTTGATGATTGCATTGTTCTTTAATCTTCGAATTGGATCCGGCTTATTATTTTTTGCAGACTGTAAGAGCAATTTTCTAAAAGTAAGCTTGAACTTTCGATTATGTCAAATAGAATTTCCGATGCTGGAGCTCCCAAAGGATCTAGAAAACGAAAGTATGTTTCGATGTCCATCAAACAAAAAACGAATTGCTACAAAAAATGGATAAAGGCATATTCTTTGTTTATCTAAACCGTTCCGAAATCTGTTTATCAATTTCACGCTGCTCTGCGGGGAGGGGGGGGGCGTCGCGGCGCGTAATGAACTGGAAGTTGATTTGTCAACACTATCGTTATCTTCAGGGCAGATGTTTTTATTTTATTCGGATTATAATTCCTTACTAAATGTAGTATTTAATTTCGATGTACTCAGTCTTTGATATGATTTAAATCAAATTCCTCGTCATTATAAATATCACGAATACAAATCAAATAGTTTTCTGGTTGCAATTTTCTAATTTCGGCTATGCGTAAGGTATGCTTTACGCATCCGCGCGTTGAAAGAAATGTTTAATAAAGTAAACAAATAAATATTAGGCTTCTTTTTTGGTAAATTTTGATACCCTTTAGATCATAATTGCTCATTATTTTATAAATTACGGTTTCATATTTTTAATTTTATAATTTCTGCATGCCTTCTTACCAGATTTAAACTGATGATCTATAATCCGGAAAAATCGATAATCCGGATTCGCCGAAGTCCCGACGAGTCCGGATTAAAGACTTTTGACTGTAATTGCTGTGTCGAGAACACCGACTAATTTGTCAATCGAAATTTTTTCGTTTTCAATAACCTCTGTATCACTTTCTTCTTTATCGGAAGCAAATTATAATGACGAGGAATTTGATTTAAATCATATCAAAGACAGAGTACATTGAGATGAAATACTACATTTAGTAAGGAATTACAGTAAGACCCCGCTTAACGCTGTTTCGGTTTAGCGCTCTTTTATTTCAACCTGGGGATTCCACGAAATCGCTCGCAGCATATGGGGATTCCCCGAAATATTATGCAGCGATAGGTTTCAAATACATATCCGAAAGAGTGTACTTGTATTTCTTGTTTGGTGCGGTATTTATTGTACAGACATTTTGAAGGGGTAAATGTGGAAGATGTCAAAGAAATAATTCATGAAGCATCGGCTAGTCTTTCTAATGATGAGCTCAAGGAATTAACTGAACAAGAAGAAAACAAAAATGTTGACAGCAGTGATTCAGAAGAAAAGCAAAAAGAAATTTCGATGGCATTTGTAAAAAAGAGTTTGTCTACCATAACTGAAATAATGGATCAATTCATTGAAATTGATCCAAATTTGACAGGAGCTCAAAAGTAAGGCGTGGTGTTAGAGATGCTCTATCCGTTTATGAAGAACTTTTAAGAGAACAACGCAAAAGAAAAAGGCAAACAACATTAGATGCTTTTGTCACAAAAAGGCAGAACACTGAAAACGCAGAAGGCTAACTAAATATGACTGACTTAGAAGTTTTTTTTTTTTTTATAAGAATATTCGTTTTGTTATTTATATTTTGTTTTTATTTTTGCAAGAAATAATAATGTGGTATTAATTTGGGCTTTAAGAAATAAATGTTTGGTTTTATTTTTATTAAAAAAAAAACATACTTTTTAAATTTAATACCTAACCAATTTCCTAGCCATCTTCCCCTAACCCCAATATTTACATGTAAAGATAGCCAGCCTCGTTTAGCGCTGTTTCGCATTACGCTCTACTTTGATGGAACGTTTGATGGAACGTATCCCCCGCGTTAAGCGGGGTCTTACTGTATAAGCGAAATAAAATGAAAACATCTGCCCTGAAGATAAGGATAGTGCTGACAGATCAACTTCCAATTCATTGCGCGCTGCAGCGTTACATATGGAATATGATCGGATCTAGAAGCAATACAGCACATACAGCGATGTGTGAGGCTTTCAATTAAGAGCAGCTAGATGTCTCCCTAAAGCATCGCAAATGTGGTCAATAGAATTCAAGTCCGGGGATCGAGCTGGCCACTCCATGCGCATAAATGTTTACTGTTGAAGATAATCATGTACGATGCGTGCCCTGTGTGGTCTTGCGTTGTCGTCCTGTAACAAGAAAGCATCACCTACTGCCCCAGCATATGGGCGCACATAAACATCAAGGATGTCATCTCTATAGATCTGAGCACTCACGGTTTCCTATGAAAAGACATGGAGGTCTGTGCATCCATCCAAAGAGATGCCACCCCAAACACAGACACTGCCCCTTCCGTATGCATCTCTTTCACAGTTTGAACGGATGATAATGGGTTCTAGGTTCTCTCCATATCAAATAACGCCTACTATCGCTTTCTAGATTAAACCTGGACTCATCCATAAAGAGAACCGAACTCCACTGATCAAGCGTCCAGTGGACATGTTGTCGTGCCCACTGAAAACAGTCCCTCCTATAGCGTGACGTGAGTGGCACACAAATGGCTAGTCGCTTCGCATACAGACCACCTACGTGAAGCCTTGTATGCACAGTTGATGTTCACACGAACCTTCTGGTGGCTGCAGCAAGGGAGGATCTAAAAAGAGTCGGAGTAGCGGTTCTATTCCTGCGTGCATATAATGTCAAATATCGGTCATCGGTGTTCGTCGTAGCAGTTGCCCGCCCCTAACTGAACCTCCTAGATGCCGAATCTGTGGTTTGAAATTGCCTCCAAAGTCTATGAATTACAGAAGGACTCACATTTAGCCATCTGGCCACTTATGTTTGACTTTGCCCTGCCTCTAGTCTCCCAATGGCTCTCCATCGCAGTTCTGCAGGCAAATGATGGAGGTCATTGTTACAAATTGGCTATCTCAGATTTCTGATGTCACTGTCACAGTAAAATATGTGGGCTTGCTTTCGAACATGGACTTTTATGCTCCTCACAGATGACGTATTCTGAAAGCAGCGCCACTAATTTTCATATCGCAGTTTTACTCAGCTACTCTTACTTGGCAACATATTCAAATTTTACCCGTTTTGGCTTATTTCTGAGGGAGTTATCGCTTTTTTTATGATTTTTTCTTAATTTATGATAACCAGTGTAAAAATGGCTTTCTTTCGAAGTGCAGATGTTTATTCGCTGTTGGCAATTGGCTTCAGATAGCTCATGCGGTACCCACTTTCCAAGCTTGGATACTTTCCCAATCTTCTTTAAATGACAAATGACTGTTCCATGAAAAATGTTCGAAAGATGAATTCATCCTTTCTGCGATCTGATCCAACGTTAATTGTAGCTCTGACTCCACAAACACAAATGAAGAATGGCCAACTTGGCCTCGAAGAAGCCAAGTTAATCATTTATTGTTAGGTTATTTCATTTATCACCAAGTTGTTTCACTTATCATAACCTGAGTAGTTGAATGTTATGGAAACACTATTACGACATCACAGTCATAGCTAGGGTTTTCAGCGCCCAGGGACAACTGAAGATTTCGTGCCCTCTACTGCTTGCCAAGGATGGAAAACATTTAATTCTAAAATGTCGTAACATAAGTTTGGCGCCCCTTGGATCCTGCGCCCGGGGACAGATGCCCCCCTCTAGCTACGCCCCTGTACGACATAATTGGTTGTGCTATTATGTTGAATTTGAATGATGGGAAAAGATTTGTATGGGTTTCTTTGTATGTTTGATGTCGGTTAGGAAGTATGTTGATTACTTTGTGGTTTACACAGTAAAATGGCTGAATATGGTAAGATTTATTTGAAGTTTCTGTAGGATTTGGAACAAAAGGAATAAAAGCATTAATTGATTGTTGTGTAATTGTAAATGAAGTGATTGTAAACGAAGATTTACTTAGTAGCCATTACAAGTGTCCTGTTTGTACGAAGGAAATGCCTATGGTCCGAACAGAGGATAATGGTACTATGAAGGATATTTTTTACCATTATTCTTGAATTTGGCGACACCAGTATACAGATTCTAGTTCAGATAATTTTAGGAAGTTTTTGGATGCTGTAAAGAATTTTGTTTGATTGAAGACACAGGAATTTCTAAATAAGGTAAATGGATATTTCCTTTGTGCAGTGCTAAGATGAATTTCTTTTTTAATGTTATTTCATTGTTTGATTTAAAATAATGTTTATTTACATTATATATTTTTTATTTGGTTCTACTATAGAATTGGCTGCTCCTTTGTCTTTTTGAGTGAAAATAGATCGATGTATACACGGACAAAGTCAAGGGAGTATGCAATGCTAAGTTTGTGCAATTCTCTGATTTTTTTTTTTTTAAAGTGAAAATAGGTTGATGTGTACATGGATACCACATTTGTGCAATTCTTTGACTTGTTATTTTGGCTTTGTGTAGTGACAATTTTTGGCGCAAAAATCGGACGCAAAGCCTAAAATACAAGTCAAAGAACTGCACAAACTTGGTATCCATGTACCGCCAAATAAATATATTTTTACCTCATTTTGATTTAAAATGCAGTTTACTGAGATTATAATTTTCTTATGTTTCAATTATGTTTTGGATGCTATTTTAGGAGGGCATAGCACGTAAACAGGAATAGGTCCAAAAAATTGCCAATTTTTGCCAAGGGGTACACTGAAATATATATTCCTAAAATATTACTTTATCCAGATGCTATTTGCAATACATAAAATGTTGTGTGGCAGAAAAGAATGTACTCTTTCTGAAATCTTTCATGAATCATGTTATGCAGATGACATTCAAGTTCACTAGGATTAGAGCAAATTTTTCTCTTTTGAATTTATCAATTCATCATTAAAATTTCAAAACAGGTTATTGCTTGAGATAAAGAGAAAAAAATGCTTCTATTAGATACAATTTTTAAGATGATGTGGATTCATTTCTGTAATTTAAATTTTCTTATCTTTCTAAAGAATTCTGCTTTTTATTGATATGATCAGTTTCAGAACCTGTCTCAATTCATCCATATGAAAGAGATCTAAAAGTGGTACACATATATAAATATATATGCATGTAATTTAAGAAAAAAGCAGTTATTTCAAACAAATGAGGGTTTTTAAATTATAGTAACATAAGCATTAATATATGAAGAAAGTACAGATAAAATAATAAAATGAATAATAAATAATAAATGAAAAATAAAATGAATAATAATAAGAACTGTTAAAAACATTTTTGTTTCTTCCAGGCCTTTTTTTTATGGTACAGAAGAAATTTGCTAATCCCAATTAACTGCTCTGTTTCATATCCTGATGAAAATAGACAACACTCAAATAGCGTGTGCACAAATTCTGGATTAGATAATGTTTCGGTACTCTTCTGTTATTGGGGCCGGATTCAGAAAAATATGTATGAATACATGCATACATTTCTGAATCTGGTTCTGATAACAGAAGAGTGATGATGTTTCTAAAATTGCTGCCTTTATAGAATGATAGTCTACCAAATCTATCAATATGACTTTTTGAGAGTTTAGTGACAAAGTAAAAGAATATGGGATCTTAGAATCTTCCTGGGATTCCTCTTGATCAAAAACAGATCAATGCTCAGGTAGATGAATTTTTTTTTTTTTTTTTTTGTAACTGATAAGTTTTTAATTTGCAATAAATTATACAGCAGAAATTTATTAATGATCTATTAGTTGCAAAAAATATCATTAAAAATATTTAAACAAGCCGAATCGACTAATCTTTGGAATATGGTAACAGGTAATTTGGCGACATTTTGGTAAGGCGACAAAAGTTACTAGCTAGGAATTTAGTAGTGTACATGGATAAAGTCAAGAGTGTGCGCAAAGCCATTTTTGTGCAATTCTGGGATGTTTTTTTAAGTGAAAATAGGTCGACGTGTACATGGATGATACCGTGTATGTGCAATTCTTAAAAACGCGGCAAGCAGTTTGCGATCCTGCACTTTCTCCCAATTTTGCACCTAATCTTCATCATGATTATGCATTTTTGTTCCATAAAAGTTCTAGTATAAGCGTAATTCGTAGCAGATTGTAGGAAAAAATGTTGAGTAAAAAAAAAAACAAAAAAACATGCCTTTACTTCGTGAATACAAAATGGCGTCCAAAACAAAACTAGCAGGTTGCTGTAGCAGGGTTAATTGCCAAATTTTCACCAAAAAATCGCCAAGTTACCATAATCCAAAGATTAACCGATGAATCAAATAATATTAATTTTAAAATGATTTTTAAAAGTGTATATTTAAATTGCCACTTATATTACTAATTTTAAGGAAGAAAAATAACAATAAGTAAATCAATACATTTATTGATGCAGAATCTTCTTTTACTTAACTCCATCTAATACATTTTCAAAATTGATGGCCCAAAACGACTCTCATAATGTCAGGGCCATATATTGCAGATATTCTTGTTCCTTAATCAGGAAGCGTGCGCGCTCTGGGTCCAAAAGAGCCGGCTCGTGTTTTTTGATGAAAAAACTGTCACTCTTCAGATAAAAGTGTTACATTTATGCCAAAATTTTATGATCAAATTTAACTTTTAATTTCAATTTCTATATTTTTTATGAAATAAATTTTTTTAAAGGAATAGAAAAACATATTATATTAATGTAGAATTTATTAGGAATTCAATTTATTATTTTTCAGGTTATTCAGGTATTATTATTCAGGTTTATCAGGAATATACTGCCTGAAACATCTTCATCGAAAGGCTTCGAGTTTTTCATTAATTGTTATGAACTCACCGACAGTGTAATATTTCTGGCAGTTATTCACAAAATCTTCAAAAAACTCTCTTATAGGTGCGATTCTTTCTTGATGACACAGTTCCTATGTCATCAAAACATAAACATCTTGACAAAAAAAAAAAAAGAAAACATTTGTAGGACATAGTTTTGTGGAAAATTTCCAAGCTGGTTCCATCTGTTGCCCACAGATCCCACACATTTACATGAGATGACTTATGTCACAAAAATATAAAAGATCTATAAAAGTGCAAATTTCAGTTAGTGTTATGAGCATCTCTCTCTCTTTGAAAGCTGTCAGAAATAGATGTTATATAAATATTTGTATAACTGACGACATTCATCAACATTTGTTCACTTAGTAAAAGTTCCTACGATTCATTTGGAATCTATACATATTTTGCTTTACCGATGTTCTCAGGGGTTAATCTTCGGATTATGATAATTTGACGATTTTTTGGCGAAAATTTGGCGACCAACCCTGTTAGTTTTGTTTTGGACGCCATTTTGTTTTCACGAAGTAAAGGCATATATATATATTTTTTTTTTACTCAACATTTTTTCCAACAACCTGCTAGCCAAATTACGCTTATACTAGAACTTTTATGGAACAAAAATGCTTCATGATGACAAAGATTAGGTGCGAAATTGGGAGAAAATGCCGAATCGCAAACTGCTTCCCACGTTTTTAAGAATTGCACATACACGGTATTCATGTGCACGTCGATCTATTTTCACTTAAAAAAAACATCCCAGAATTGCACAAAAATGGCATTGCGCACACTCTTGACTTTATCCATGTACACTACTAAAGTCCTAGCTAGTAACCTTTATCGCCTTACCAAAATGTCACCAAACTACCTGTTACCATATTCCAAAGATTGAGCAGGAATTCTAACATCAGCTTTACGCTTTTTTTTACCACTGGGATTTCTGTCTTTTCCAATTAAGCAATAAATGTCATTCGCATTTTCGTTTTCAGAAGGCATCTCGATTTCTGAATCAGTAACATGAGAACTACAAAATTCATTATAACTTTCATCATCAGTTTTTTTAATGGAATCTTCAAAAGTTGATACATCTAATAATTTTTGCAAACGTAACATTTCTTCCTTATAGGATAAATTACGTGACATGTTTGCATCTTTCTATGCTACCACAAACGCACAACCTTACAGCAATGCGAATAAGCGCGCTGGGTCTGAAAGACTCGATCCGATTAAAACAAAACTTCGAATAAAATGTCCGGCGAAAAACATAAAGATGATGGTCTTGGAGAAGAGTACACTGAACCACAACTTGAGAAAAACAGGGCCGGACCCAGCGCTCGAGCTCGCGGGTTAATCTACTCAATAACTATGAACAACAAGAATTACACCATAAATTAAAAACAAGTTAAATAATAAACATTTTGTGACAACGCGCAATTTACTGAATCGTTTCTATTTAGGCATAAAATAATTTTTATACAGCATGATGAATTTCACGTAGAAATTCAATAGTAGTAACATAGTTTTGTAATAGTAAGTAACATATTTTTGATAAATGTTAGCCTGATGCGAAAAAAGCATTTTTTGCTAGCTGGTTTCATGAATGTTCTCGACTTGCGCTTAGATATACATTTTTATTTTCTTTGAACATACAGCGCAACTGAGAAAATTGCATTAAACCATGAGATGACAAAATTTTCCAAATTACTTGAAAATAACAATTACTTACATACCATTTTTGATAAATTACAAAAATCTCCTAACAACTACGAGAAATAAATACTTTTTTCAATGCGTTGCCAATTCGATATTTGAAATTTTCAATCTGGGGGAAAAAAAAATTAACAACCACTGGCGTAGTGTTGCGTAATCCTATTTATATTGCGCCTTCCGCTCTTGGCAACAACGCAATGAACGGAGTTGCGAAGAGCGAGCCCAGTGTTCCAAGATTGTTCATTATGTTTTCCGAAGTTGAGAAGGATATTTAATTTTTGTCGTAGATCTTGCCTGTCATTCTATTAGATTGAATTCTTAAGTGTATTTATTAAACATATAGGATATTTTTTTATACCTAAAGGTAGTTAAAGCTCTAAAATGTTTTATTATTGTTATTTTTTAAGTCTTGTTTTTTCTTTGTGCTAATAACAAGTGAAGTACTGTATAGGATTTATCGTTGTAATTTGGTTTGTTATAACAGCCTTTTTAGTGAATAAAAATGAAATAAAATTTTTCTTATTAAATAAGGTTTGTTTTTGAAATTAGTGAATTTTATTTATAAGTTATTATTATGGAAAAGAAATAATACAAATTATGCATGCTTGGAAAAAGTGTGAAATAAAATATTTTACTTTAAGATTATGTTTAAAAAATTACATATTTTGATATTTTTTAAGTGTGCTTTTTATAATGTTTCAGCCATAATTTTAATTTGCATGTCTTGGTGAGATATATCACTAATTAAGCACATACATACAAAATTTGTAAGTAGTAAAAAATATAAAGTTTTATTCAAGTATTACTGTTTTATTTCTCTCTTTAAAAAATTTAAAATTTATATCTTTTTTTTTTTTTTTTTTTGGTGTATGTGTGTGTGTATTGGCTGTATAAATAGTTAGTACTTTTCGGTTATGCACCTGCCACACAATTTGGCAATACTGTTGTAATAATATGTATATGCGTGTTTAATTATTCTTAGTTACATACACACACACAGTCTCCACATGGTGCTATCACTGAGTATTGTCATGTGTTTCGTTTTTTTTTTTTAAATAGGGACCAAAAAGCAAGGCACATACATAATGGAAAGCATGTTATGCATTGAGAAGTTTGTAATTATGTTCTGTATGTGATTAAATATTTTTTTAAACTCTGTTTTAGCTTGCATGTAGTCAAGATGTCAATTTCACCATGGGCACTACGTAGAGGTACTTCACCAGTTGACTGGTGTGAAGGAAATTATCTAATATCTCCCATGATAGCTGAATTTGTTAATACTGTAAGCTCTTTACTATAGTTTTTTGTATTATTTTTGAGATATACATTAATTTGCATATGTTTAGATTGTCATATATTAATAAAGTGTCAAGAGATTTTTTTAATTCTTTTATTATAAACATATGTTTTTTTTTAATACTAAAAATATCTGGTAGAAACGAAATAAATAACTTAATTAAAAATTAGTAATTCTTTTCTCATTGAAGAAAAGGCCTTGAGTTAACAACATCAAAGATCTGATAGCAACCAAAATAAAAATGTATGAAAATATTCCTAATAAGTAAAACTGATAAAATGTTGTTATGTAAAAAATATTCCTGGAATGTAAAACTGATAAAAATGTTATTTTCTGTTTATCATTTTAGATAGCTACCTTGAAACATGAAAGTAGATTAAGTAACTTTGACAGAAATTGTTAGAAATAATTATGTAATTTTAAATATGCCTCCTACAATAGAGAGAAGGTTTTTCTCCCCTTCCCATATGTCGCTATGTGTTAAAAATATGTAATTATAAATATGCTTATTGCTGCAAATAAATGTTTATTGTAGTTCTCTTAGATTGAAATAGATTCACAGATATTTCTTCATTAAATATTTCTTACAGGCATACTCTAAAATATAATTTTTTAATTGCAGAAAGACTTCAAATTTACTTTATAATTAAGGTGATAATATTTAAGACAGAAACAAGACAATGGGATGGAACAAACAGAAAAGGGCAAAACAAAGAAAAATGACCCAGAATGTTTTATGTTGAACTTCTATAAATTTTCAGTGATTGAACGCATATAAAAATCAGGCACTGTAATATTTTGCTACAGTTGTACAGTCAAAACTCTTTAATCCGGACTTGTCGGGACTTCGGCGATTTCGGATTATCTATTTTTCCGCATTATAGATCATTCGTTTAAATCTGGTAAGATGGCATGCAGAAATTATAAAATTAAAAATATGAAACCGTAAAGTATGAAATAAAGAACAATTATGATCTAAAGGGTATCAAAATTTACAAAAAAAAAAAAAAAAAAAAAAAAGAAAGCTTAATATTTATTTGTTTACTTTATTAAACATTTCTTTCAATGTAAATTGTTTATGTTGCTTTGTTTTATGTGATAATACTTTCTCTTTAATTCTATAAACAGACATAATTTCTTGTGTAGTTACAAAGTTCTGCTGTTCAAGTCCTATAATTGCTGTATCGAAAATACTGACTAATTTGTCAATCAAAATTTTTTCGTTTTCAATAACACCTGTGTCACTTTCTTCACTATCGGAAGCGAATTATAATGACAAGGAATTTGATTTAAATCATATCAAAGACGGAATACATCGAGATGAAATACTACATTTAGTAAAGAATTATAAGCCAAATAAAATAAAAACATCTGCCCTGAAGATAAGGATGGTGCTGACAGATCAACTTCCAATTCATTTCGTGCTACGGCGTATTGGAGTATTAGAACTGTTTTTATATATTTATATTTATGATATAAAACATTTATTGCAAAATAAAAATATGAATTGTAGTGCAATTTTTAAACATGTCGTGTTATTATGCTGATCGATGTATTTTAATAATGTTGAAAATAATTAAAAGAACATATGTTCGCATATTTCTGATCTTTATTTTTAATGGCTAGATTGAAAATTGAAAAGTATATCTGCTGTATAAAATACGTTAATTATTCATTATTGAATTTCTTGACTGTTTTCTAACTGTTAGATTTACCCTCAAATGAATATTTTTCATGAATATATATGTATCTTTTTAGGTAAGCAATATTCTTTTCTTTGTGTTTCCACCTCTGCTGACTGGTCTGTTTAGAGAGTATGCTCAATATGTGAATCGTGGTATTTATTTAATCTGGGCTTTACTACTAACTGTAGGATTGACTTCAGCTTATTTTCATGCTACTCTCAGTCTTGTTGGACAGTTGCTGGATGAAGTTGCCATTTTGTGGCTACTGATGGCTGCTTTTGCCTTATGGCTTCCTCGTCGGTACTTTGCTTTTGGCATTAAAGAAAGGTTTGAATATTAAAAATATTTTATTAATTGAATGTTAAAATCTCACTGCTGACTTTATTTACAAATATTGTGTATTTCTGTACGAGTTCAAAATGATTTAAAAATAATTTCATCGCAAAAATAATATGCTGGGTTAAATTACTAAAAAAAAGTATTTGTATTTTATTTATATATTAATCAAATTTCTTAATACTAATATCTGATTGAGAATTATGTAACAATTGTATTAAGTCATTGCTTGAGGTAAGTTTAATTGAATATCACAATCCTTCGGTTCATCATTAACATCATTGTAGACAATATCAACTTTTGTTTTCTTGTAGACAGTGTCAACAAGTTTTATTCATAATATTGCTCAGCAAACTAGGAGGAATTTTTTTCCCTGCTCATCTTTCACTATGTAGTAGAAACGAAGTATCATATTTTACTTGTAAAGTCAAGAACACAACTGGGGGTGTGGAGGTTCTTCTGAGTAAGGAATTATTGACATCAAAAATATCTTTTTTTTTCATCTCTATTTTTGAAATGAAAGCTGAAGTGAATCAATGCTTACTTCAGTTCATCCAGTAATTAAGTTAGACGGTCAATTAAGTGCACTTTTCACAATACATGTAGCTGAATTTATAAGGCTATTTTAGATTTGGCTTGTGCCCGGCTTTTTCAATTTTGTTTAAAGCTTTGCAGCAAAATCATATTTTGGTAAAAGTATATTTACGGGTACCCCTTAGTGAAACTTGACGGTTTTTGGCGGTACATGGATACCGAGTTTGTGCAGTTCTTTGACTTGTTATTTTGGCTTGTGAAGCAGCGATTTTTGCGAAAAAAAATCGCCGCTACACAAAGCCAAAATAGCAAGACTAAGAATTGCACAAACTGGGTATCCATGTACACATCAGCCTATTTTCACTTAAAAAAAATCCCAGAATTGCATAAAAATGGCATTGCGCACTCCCTTTATCCATGTATACATTGACCTATTTTCACTTAAAAAAAATCGGAGAATTGTACAAACTAGGCTTTGCGAACTCCCTTGACTTTGTTCATGTATCCATTGAATTATATTCACTTAAAAAAGTCAAAGGAGCAGCCAAAAAAATATATATAATGTTAATAAACTGCATTTTAAGTCAAACAATGAAATAACATAAAAAAGGAAATTTGTCTTTGTACTACACAAAGGAAATATCCACTTACCTTATTTACGAATTAACACGTCTTCAATCAAACAAAATGAACAGCATCCAAGAACTTCCTAAAATTATCTGAATCTGTATACTGGCGTCGCCACATAAATCCACAAAATAAGAGTAAAAAATATCCTCTGTAACGACATTCGACCATACATATTTCCTTCCTACAAACAGTACAACTAATAATGGCTACTAAGTAAACCTTCATTTACACACCAGTCAAGTAATGCTCTTTTCCCCTTTCTTTCCAAATCATACAGGAACTTCAAATTAATCTTACCACATTCTTCTGTCTAAACCACAAAACAGGCAATATACTTCCTACCCAGTGCACACACCATAAGCCCTTATGAAATTACCGCAGTCATGAAACTGATTACGTCATAATATGGTTTCCATACCATTCAACTACTCAGGCTACCATAAATGAAACAATAACTTGGTGATAAATGAGACAACAACCTTGTGATAATACAAGGGATACTCTTCTCTCTACTTTAAACCATATATTTTAGCATATCCACTGGCATAGATTTAGTCAAGATCTCATTCGATTTTGAGGTCAGACCGGTACACGTTTGTCTTTGTCAGAAGCAAAGAAATCTGCAAGACAAAGAGTCTTGCTGTCACGTCTTCATGTTAGGATTTTTATCCAGTTCTGTTTAAAAATTATGTTCCAGGTTTAGCATTTTCTCTAACTGAGGCTTTAAAAACATGGTGCTTAAAATATGTGAGCCAGCTTATTCCAATTAATGTGTAGTCTTAAACTATGCTATCGGTGTTCAAATTTAATTGTCTAGTCTGTTAATTTAACCTATCCACAAGTGGTGAAACTTTCCTCTGTAGCTAAAATTGAACCTTTATGTTCAAATTGAAACTAAAATAAAAAGGTTATTTAAACCTTCAGTATTTTATGAGTTGTAAAGAGATAGCGATAACTCGCTGTCTGTCAGATAAAATCTGCAGAATTTTAACTGTGGTGTCCAGTTATAATAGCAACTTACAGTTTCTAATATACTGTTTGATTTGCAAATATTTAAACTATTATTATATTTTCAACAACTATAGTACACTTTGTTAATGTGTTAGTTTTAAAATTTTTAATAGAATAATTGTTGGAACTAAACATTCGAAGGTAAGTGAATATGAAAACATACTATTTGAAATTAATACTGATTCAAAGTTGAATTTTTAAAATTTGCTGAAGGGTGTATTCCATCAAATTTGGCTTATTGAAAGTTGACTATATTTGGATTGATTATTCACTTTTTCCTGTAAAATTGAAAGTCTTATATACCTACATAGTAGTGCATAGTTTCAACTAAGTATTTGACATGGCAGCTTTGATCATATCACATGTTTTAGTAAATATATATGAAATATGAATTTTATATTAGCCCTCTTACAATGTTTCAAACGGCTAGTTTATCTTCATATTATTAGAGATTATTAAAAAGGTTATGCTCTTTAATATGTCATTTACTATTCTTCAAAACTGAGTGATTTATATTATTTGCATCCAATATTAACTCCTTAACCCTTTCAGGACGGGCGTCCCATCCACGCATCAGTAAAGATCGAATTCAGAGGACGGGTGATGCGTATACGCATTTTAAGGTGGAACGTTTTTATGAAGGCCACTAGATGGCATCCTGTGTCCTATACTTCTGAAATGAACACAATTTTAGGTTCCTGACCTTGAGTTTGATATATTCTACTTTAGTATTTTACTCATCAACTGTTCGAGGGGGGGGGCGGAGGGAAAGCGTAAACAGAGGTGGGCTCTTTAAACCGCTGCATGCTAATGAAAACATTCTCGGATCTGATTTATATCAAATTCCTTTTTTATTCTATTTTTTCCCTCTACTATGTACGATCTTTTAGGTTTACGTTTTGTATTGCCTTCAAATATATTTCCATTCCTTTTTTTATTTAGGAAATCCTCACCTCCAGTCTATTATGGCGGGAAGGTGCTATTTATCAGTGGAAGAAGACCCTAGTATGTTAGTGAACCATTTACTAATGCAAATGAGAGTACTGATTCATTTTCTAAAGAGTTAAAAAGTGATACTGTTTCTAAGTGATACTTCTCTGTGCTTTGAGATTTACCACACTCGTATTCATTTTAAATTTTGTTACTTTTTACTGTAAATAGTCTTTGTGTTCTTTTTATTAATTTTAAACTTTATTGAGTGATTTTATCAATTAAAATTAAAACCTTGGAATAATTTGAGTAGTGCTTCCGAAAATTATTTTAGAAGATAAGCAATTTTTTAAGTATATTTTCATGTAAAATAAAGAAAGAAATGTTTTAAGGCCTGATTTTAACATATATAAGAGCTCAAGTAATAATCTAAAATGATACAAAAAATTACGATGCTAGAAGCGAAACTTGTTTTTCTGATTTTTGTTATAAAATTAGGCTTAGCGATGCAAAACCTCCGTCCTGTGCGGTGACTGACTTTGATTCTCTTCCGCCCCACACGAGCATCTTAAACAAAGGTGCACCGTCGCAAAAAGGTTAAGAAAAAGTTTTTACCCCCTGAACAATTTGATGTAAGGATCAAGAACCTTATTTCTGTGTATTTCGGAATTCATTACTGGTATTAGTAAAAACGTGTAAATCAATGCATCCTTTCAAAATGGTGCCCATCCATATTATGATTCCACTTCTATTGTACTGATGCTTTTAACAAATTGTGTGTGCTTTGCTCTCTTCAGAAGTCCCATTCACGTAGTGCTCCTTCAAATAACTGTTGCAGAGTTTTTGTCTTTTAAGACCTGTTCAGAAGGCCACTATCTACCTTCTCTTTACGCCACTGCAAACAATGTTGTCATTATTGGCTATATGGCATAATAGGATTGTTGGGGAGGAAAGAGTGATTATTCATTGTTAAGATACAATTTTTTAATTGAATAATTTAATTGATAGCAAAACTAAACACTTGATACTAAAAAGATTTTAAAGTCAAAAAAGTTTTTTTTAGTTTTTATGAAATAAGCTTTTATTTAAAACCCATAAAATAATCAACAGAATGAAGAAAAAAATTTATCATGCACTTTAATAGGAAAAATAGATTAAATAATTATCCCTACAGAATTATCTACAGTTTTATATCATGAATAATAAAACAAGGGCACTAAATAACAAAATCTAATTATCAAATTGATCGTCAAAAGTATAAGATAGCTATTATCTTCATAAATTTATTAAGGGCGTCTCAAACCATTGATATTTAATGGTATAAAATTGTAGAAGTACTTGTGAAGAGAAAAAATTTTTTAATCTGTTGTTACCGTTAAATTGTATGATGAATTATTTTTTTCCTTTTAGTTCATTAAATATTTTGTGAACTTTAAAATAAAAACTTACTTAACTTTTTTAATTATTATTTTCTTTTCTCTGTGCCCCCCCCAACCCCCGGCTCTCTCTAGAATTATTTTTGCACCTACAGTCTAATGTGCATTGCTTGGAGAAATAATCGCTGCTTCATCAGAGACGGTCTATTTGCTGAAGAAAATTTATGTATTGCTTTATAAATGCAACATTAATATCACTCAAATTGGCATACCCAAAGCCTTAATTTGTTGCGTTGCATGCGATATTCATGTCTAAGCAGTTTGATTTGAAGAGTATTTCTTATATACCAAAATGCATCTAAACTTGTACATATCTCTATGTACTTTTATATCACGTCCATAGAACCATCTAATTTTCTTTTGCACCACCATATAGTTCTCAATGCTATAAATATTGCTAATACTCCAGCAAGTGGTTAACTGCACGTTAGGCAATTATTGTTTACTAGA